GCCAGTTCAAAGCCAGCCTGAGCTACAGACACATAGAAATCCACCCAGGAGAACACCAGTTCTAAGCCAGCCTGAGCTGCAGACATAGAAAACAGTGAAGAGCCAAGTAACCTCACGAGGAAGTCAGGAGGAAAGTTAAAGTCACACTGTGAACACACTTAGAAAAACTAAGAGTGTGCTTTCTTTTTAGAAGTGGAAAGTATATTTTACAAAAGCCCATTACGTAGTCATCTGTCTTAATGACTGTTCAAGACCTCACAGAGAAGACAGCCTCTCTGCTGCCATTATCAGAGGCTGTTTTAAATTAGAGAAGCTGAATAGCAAGCTGACTACTGAAGACACTCACTCAGAAGAGTTGACTTGTCATCTTTATCTGATCCCTGCAGGAAAGCTAAGTGATGACTGTTGCCATAACAGTACACTTCTCCTTTATTTTATTTTATTTTTTGTTTGTTTTTCAAGACAAGGTTCCTCTGTGTAGCCTTGGCTGTCCTGGATTCATTTTTAGACCAGGCTGGCCTCAAACTCACAGCGATCCTCCTGCCTCTGCCGCCCTGAGTGCTGGGATTACAGGTGTGCACCACCACGACCAGCTACTTCTACTTTCTTCAGTCATGGGTTTCATGCACTATAAGCATCATCATTTTTGAGCCTCAGTAAGCAAAGCCCATGAGTCTTCACAATTTAAAAAGGCAGTTCATTTACACAAAACTAGTTATTTCTGGGACACCATTAAGGTGCTTTAAGTGGTTCTATGTATGAAACAAGTGTTGAGAATCTGAATTGGTCCTTCCTGTTATTGAAAGTGAGTCTATCAATTTATCACATCACATCCTTGCCCTTATTTTGCTATTGTTATTAACCAATAACCACCGTGATACTTGAGAAATAAAACAACATAACAAAAACAAGGGGATTGTAGTATTCTCCATGAGGTGAATTCTAGGTACATACATTTGCACATTCTTCACACATGACTGTGCTAGTTAATTCACCAATAAAGATCCGATCTATGAGGTTCATCTTCACGCCTTCTTTTCCATAGGCTGTAAAAAGAATCCATTTTTTAATTAAAAAATTCCCAAGACAGTCATAGATCCAACAGTGTCATGACTCATCTGGGTAAGATATGGCTCCTGGATTGTACCCGATAATGTACTTTGTTATATTATGCTACATCTTTCTCCTTTACAATTTTGTAGAGGAAATGTCAGGGTTAGCAGAACTCACCTTGACTGCTGAGTCATCTTGCCAGCTCAAAGTATTTTTAAGAGGTAAAATAAATATAGCAATAGCTACTAACTCATACCACATCCCAGCTACTGGCTTTTTGATGTCTCTGTGTCTAACCTAACAGTAGACAAAACAGGGACTATAACTGTTTTCCAGGCTAAAGATTCCAGACCGACAGCTATCAAAGGAGGGTATAAAAGACAAGTGTGTGAAACAGAGTGTAAGAAGTGAGCCTGGACATTTAGTAACTCAGGTAAGCATACACGTGTGTGCCTGGTGATTACTTTTAAAGGCTGAAATTATTTTGTTTATGAAGTAATTACAGAACAAGTGAATTGTGCTAGTGGTTTGCTTAAAAAGCCGGTGCTGGGGAGAACTGGCCAGACAGCATGCTGTGGTGTGAAGTCGGGTGACACACACAAGAAGATGCACTGTGTCTGTCTTACATTCAAGCTTCTATCCTTTGTCAGCCTCTACCTTCCTGGAAAGTGTTGAAAATTATTCAAAAGCATTATCCAGGGCTGGAGAGATGGCTCAGAGGTTAAGAACACTGGCTGTTCTTCCAAAGTCCTGAGTTCAATTCCCAGTAACCACATGGTGGCTCACAGCCATCTATAATGAGATCTGGTGCCCTCCTTCTGGGGTGCAGGCACACATGCAAGCAGAACACTATGTAAATAAATCTTAAAAAATAAATAAAATTCCTCTACAGCTTCCATTAAAAAAAAGCATTATCCAAAGCACTGAGTAACAGAGAAGACCTATTTTAATACAATAGATATTTTATACTATTAAGAAATACCATGCTTCCTTAAGAAAAATTTAACAGGGATTAAAAGTAGAACCACCACAAATGGAAAGCAAAAACAACATCCCAAAGCAGGGCTGTTGTTCTGAATGTTCACTAGGTGGCAGCACCATGACACAGAGTCACTATGGCGACTTGAGTGTTTCAAGTCCTTCATGGGGCAGGGGCAGGGGCAGGCACCGAGATCTCTGGCACGTGGTCAAGTTTATCGCACACTAGGAAAGTAGGAGTACTCCCCTTCTCATTTTTATTTAATGCAGGAGTGTTTCACCTGCAGGTGTGCATCTTACCCAGGAACATCAGGCGTTGGATCCCTGGAACTGGAATTACAGATGACTATGAGCCACCCCTGTGGACACTGGGAACTGACTGCAGGTCCTCTGTAATAGCAACGAGCGCTCTTAACCACTGAACAGCTCCAGCCCCTTATCTTGGGGTAGACAGGGTCTCAACCGTGTAGCCTCGACATTCAAGACATTCAAAAGAAGTTGGTCTCAGATTCCTTAGAGATCTGTCTGCCTATATGCCCAAACCCTAGAGATTTCTTGCTTCCCTTTAATAGAGCAGGATTTAACCCTTTTCACTCTATCCAAGTACCTAACAACACAGCCCAACCCAATAACACAATAACTAAAGCTGCATTCCATCCTGAAGCATAGCACAGGGGTCTAGTCACAAAGCCATCCTTGAGGAGCCATCTGCAAAGACGTACCCACGTGACCCTTATGAATATTAAAACATAAACCTCTTGCCAAAATATTGAAGTATCTCAAAAAGTTGGGATGAACTGAATCATCCCAGCTCACATGTAACAAAATAATTAGTTTTCTCAACAAAAAAGATATTCTTTCAAATGAAAGACTCAAATTAGCAAGGCCTTTTAAAAACTAATTTATCTTTATTTTATGTACATTGGTGTTTGACTGCATGTATGTCTGCGTAAGGCTGTCAGATCCCTGAAACAGGAATTACAGACAGTTGTGAGGTGCCATGTAGGTGCTGGGTATTGAACCTGGGTCTTCTGGAGGAACAGCCAGCGCTCTTAACCGATGTGCCATCTCTCCAGCCCCTAGCAAGAATTCTTAAGGACTTGAGTTATGAAGCCTGTACCATGACCAGGGCTCAAAGAAAGATCTAGGTATTTTGAAGTTGACATTTTTTTTTTATCAATAAGTAAAACATATCACAACTTTTTCATAAACATAAAGCATTGACCAACAAACTAAATGATGTAGGACTATTTCTTGTACGATCTGCCTCCTCAATCACTGCCCACAAGACTCAAGTACTACCCTACGGCGGCTTTGCAACACACACACATATATGCCTTAAACACTACACAACACTGTATTCGTAAAAACCAATGTAATACTAAGGTACTGTATTTAAATGTGCATTCTTGTAAATGCACAGGTTCACTCCACAGCTCTAAGAACAGCAGACACACATTCGTGACACAAGCTGTAGGAATATTACAGGCACAGCCACAAAGCCGGCCTTCAGCTCTAACCTCGTGGCAAGGGAACAGTGGGCAGCGGGCAGTGCCTACGCTCCCTAAACGGATAGGACACAGCCCAGGGAGAGGCGTTCTCCTCGTAAGGTACTACTTTAGAAAATCAGTTCACAGGATGCTTGACTGCTCCTTCGTAAGGAAACTGATCTATCTGTGCTGTGTAACAATGCGGCTCCACGACCTTTTTCACACATGCATCTTTTATCATATTTGTCCCCATAACACTTTGCTACCTTGCTACCTACCCGCACTCTCATAGACCCCCTCTTGCTCTTTCCTGAAGAAGCCTGGGTATAGGAAGGGTATTCATAGACACGTGCGCATCTCACCAGTGGCTACGTCACTGAAGAAATGTTTCCTCCCTCTAGCAACTACAAACAGCATCTACATACTCAGGGAAGGATAAGCTTTATGACCCCTCTACTTTTCCCAACAGCTCTGTTCGGGCTCTGGAAAATCGCAGCTGCTGAGAGGTCATGGTGCAAAGGTAGGCCATGTCTAGAGGAAAGTGTTCTCCAGCAATCTACACCCCCCCCCCACCCCCCGTCTGTGCTGTTCCCTGAGGTTTGCAGGAAGGAAGGACCTCTACTACAGGACTCCATAAAGTGCTTTTTAAGAGAATCCACATACCTTTGACTTTTTTCCTAGTTTCATCATCAGCAGTCTTAGTTGTTGGATTGTTAAATGCTTTTAGAATGCTAGCTTGTATCCTCTGTAAAACAAAGAAATTAGAACCTAGTGATGGTTAATAAAGAGCTCATTCTCGGCACAAGGACAGACTTTCAAACAGCACAGGACACTATGGATCTCAGTTTGTACTCATAAAATATTTGAGTTTTAAATAGGTATTTATTATTGGGATATATAGTTTTAATTTGTTATGAAGTTTTTTATAAGATTGGGACTGGCCTAACATATGTACATTTAGAAACATTAAGTGTATTATCTTTCTTTCAGCTGTACCTTTCCACAAAGGAACACCCTCTAACTGGGTACACAATGCTCGATAGCACATGCCTGTAACCTCAGCATCTGGGGGCAGGCAGGACTGTGAGTTAAGGCCAGCCTGGACTCACTCACAGAGTGAGACTCTACTTCTAAAACAAATCCAAAAACAAAGAAAAAACCCGAAAACCCTACTTTCTTTTTGTTTTGCTATTTTCGAGACAGGGTTTCTCTGTGTAGCCTTGGCTGTTCTGGACTGACTTTGTAGACAAGGCTGGCCTTGAACTCACAGCCTGCCTCTGCTTCCCTGAGTGCTGGGATTAAAGGTGTGCACCACATGGGGCTGGAGAGATGGTTCAGAGGTTAAGAGCACTGCCTGCCTTTCCAGAGGTCCTGAGTTCAATTCCTAGCAACCACCTGGTGGCTCACAACCATCTGTAATGAGATCTGGTGCCCTCTTCTGGCATACAGGTGTACATGCAGATGGAACATTGTATATATAATAAATAAATAAATCTTAAAAAAGAAAGAAAGGTGTGCACCACTGCTCCCAGCTCCTAAAACCTTCCGAATGCCAAACTTTCATGGCTAAGATCCAACTTTCTGTTCGGTCCCCTCTGACATTAAAAGCAACTGGCCCAGCTCAGCTTTTCTTCAGGATTGGAGGGAAGTGTCTCCCTCCCTCCCCATCTCCCTCTCTAAACTGGCATTCCTTATCAAGACAAAAATATGAAGAGGGAAACAAAAGATCACATCATATGAAATTCTTTGTCCATGAAGAAACTCTAACATATAAGAAGCTGTCAGTCCAGTCTCTGCAGCCTCTCCAAACAAAGTACACACGCGAGAGCCCTAAAATCTGCACTCTGCACTGACATCAATCAGCCCCATCCCACGCCCAGTTACGGTGAGCGGTACACCTAGCGTGGCCAGCAATGACGATGTCTTCAGCTGTTCACAGGAAGCTACAAGGTTTGTGTGTGTCTCTACTCCTGTGTGTGCATGTGTGACGCTGAGTTGAGCTTGGGGCTCACACCTGCTGCCCAAGAGTTCTCCCATGAGCTATACTCTCATAGCCCCTATTTTTACATCTTCTGTCCATATGTTAGGCAAGTCTCAATCTCCCAAGAAACTTTTTTTAAAATTTATTTATTATTTATACTGTATTCTGCTTGCATGTGTGCCTTCATGCCAGAAGAGGGCAACATTATAGATGATTATGAGCCACCATGTGGAATTGAACTCAGGACCTTTAGAAGAACAGCCAGTACTCTTAACCTCTAAAGCCATCTTTCCAGCCCCCCAAGAAACTTTCAAACAGAATACACTATATATTCCAACAGTAAGTACCTACTTAAGTCAACAAATTATAAGCCTTCACATTAGTTGTGCCTTTAATTAAAATAAATTTTGTCAAGTGTAACTTACATTGTTCACAGAGTAAAGGGGAGATTGTTATCTTTCAGAAGATATTTTTTCTATGCACTGGTCACAGGCTTTCCTATATAGAGTACTGTCTGAGAGGTAGAAGGGTAGGGAGATAGCTCAGTGGGTAAAGTACTTGTCATGTAAGCATGATGACCAGGAATTTGAATCTCTAGGAACCCTGCCTCCCATAAGGCCGGAGGGTGGGGGGGCTGCCTGGGATCCCAGTGTGTGAGCTGTATGGACAGGGAACCCAGTGTGAGCACCACAGATGGAGAACCAATCCTCCAAGTAAACTGGCTAGTCAGACTACCCCAAAGGATGACTTCTGGGTTCGAGAGACACTGCTTTGACACAGTGTGAAGAACTGTTGAGGAAGATGCCAAAGTTAAGTCTGCATGGGCCTCCATGCACACACAAACATGCACCAACACACGGGAACACACACAAAAACAGACAAAAGCCACTGTACTGCCTGAAACAGACTTAACAAAAAGATCTGTTGTTTCTCTGTATGTGTCTGTATGTAAGGTATGTGTCTGCTGACCTCTGTGACGGCCCAGTGTGTGAGCCGGAACTGAACTTTGGCTCTGCAAGAGCAGCCAGTGCTCTGAACTGCTAACCACCTCGCCAGCGCTGAAACGGCTTTCATAATGTGAAACTGACATAGAATTCTGTTAAAAAAAAAAAAAAAAAAACAAACACACACACACACACACAAAACAATACCAAAGAGATACTGCATGGTATACTTCAACAGAAAATAAAAACATACATATACATCCCAACGTTCAAAAGAAATTTTACACTTAAATATTTAAATAAATTCAAGACAATAAGAGTAAATGGATTAAGCAGTCAAGTTATAAATTTAGAGAAAGAATGCTAAAACCAAATAAAACCAGGAGGAAAACTTTAAAGAAAATTAAAAGAGAAACTAGAGAAAAATAATATATGAACCTACAGGTAATTACTTGGGTGTCAGATTTGATTAGTATTTGGGTATAATTACTCACTTGGAAGTACTAGCTATGATAATATAAAAAAGGGAAGCTTAATATCACACTTAAATAAAAGAAAAATAAAATAAATAAATTTTTAAAATTAAAAAAGATAAATAAATGAAAGTTAAAGACAATTTAAATAACCCAAGAGAATACTTTCTAACATAATTACATTTGAAACTTAGGAGAAAATAGAGGGTAATTTCCAAAGAAAATACAATTTCAAAAATTAATTATAGGAAAGATGGAAGGTCATCTACCATGCCAGGAGAAGGAAAGAAGAAAGGAAGGAAGATAAAAAAAGACTAAAACTCTGATAATTTCAGATTGCCACTAAATCTGCTTTAAGGAATAAAATAATTTGAAAAAAGGTCCAAGGTAGGCTGTGGTTGTGCATACCTTTAATCCCAGCATTCAAGAGGCAGGGGCAGGTAGATCTCTGTGAGTTCGAAGCCAGCCTCGTCTACAAAGTGAATTAGTTCCAGAACATCAGGGCTAAATATAAGAAAACTCCGTCTTGAAGAAATGAACAAAAAAAAAAAAAAGAAAGAAAAGAAAAAGAAACAAAAAATGGCTCCAAATTACTTTTATGAAGTGTAGTAAAAGTGTAAAGAAATGATCTGATAGGGCTGAGAAAAGCCTTCGTTGGCGGAGTGCTTGCCTGACAAACACAAGGCCCTACATTCAAACTTTAGGGCTGGGCACGAAAGACAGACCAGGCCAACACTGCTGTCTCCCAAGCCCCACTCACTTAGCACGGCTCTCTACCTCCTAAGCCCACATATGGACCTGCAACGGAAAACACACACACAGAAATCACCTTCACGTTCAGGTTACAAGAAAAGGAAATTCTAGGAGCTGCATGAACACACACAACAGTGCGGTTAGGTGACACATTCTGCCTTTAACAGATCTTCAACAGTAGAGTGCAGTGATTAGCCTTAAAATAATAGAAGTCTGTTCTTAGTGACAGCTCAAATGAGAAAGGAAAAACACAAAGCATGAACTTGAAGGTGAAAAGGGTGCCCATAAAAACTGTTTACAGTAAATGTAATTCTATGTTCTGTACGTACACAAACGTAGAATTTTGACTCACATGCCCCTTTTAGCATGCTCAATTCAGCAATAGTATACAGTCACAGGAGAAGCCTTTAAGGAAACAATTCGAAAGGCCTGTAGTTTTAGGTCTACCTGGTTCTGGCGGCAGCCAGAGCACGGCAGCCCTTCGAGGGCAGTGACGCACGCCCACCGCGGCACACTCGGCATCTGTTCACGCCCAGGCTAGACAATGCAGCCCCGCTGAGGACTCACTGCAACCAACCAGCACGGCTGTCGTGCTTGAGGCTAAACACACCCACAGACGTGACATTTCAATTTTGTCATACTATCTGTGGCCCTCAGCTACCAGAATAAGAACAACGTGTTCTGACTGAGTTCTTATAATACTGAACAACAGAGAAAAACAATGTCCCCCCCCAAAAAAAATCATAGTTAATCTGAAATGACATATGGCTATCCTAAGAAACATACTTCTGCAGAAAAAAAAAAATTAACACTGTAAGAAAATGTGAACAAATTTTAGCTCAGGGGAATGTTAATGTCTTCAAAACTTAATTGTAAATTTATTCTATCTTTAAAAAAATACAAGTATAATTTTTTTAATTGAAAAAATACAAGTATTCGAGGCCAGCCTGGTCTACAAAGTGAGTCCTGGACAGCCAAGGCTATACAGAGAAACCCTGTCTCAAAAAACAAAAAAACAAATATAACCAACCAACCAAGCAAACAAAAATACAGACATAACATGATGTAGTAGATACCCATCAACTTAACTCCTCCTGGGTATAAAGGAAGGAGACAAAAACAGTACCTTTCTTGGAGGAAGTCATAACTCTGAAACAGTATTAGCAATGGCACCAAAATCTTTCAATTGTATTGCTTGGTTTGTGAGACAGGGTCTCTATGTAGCCTAGGCCTGCACAGAACTCACCACCCTCCATTCTCTTGCCTCAAGAGTGTGCAATTACTAGATTGTGACGCCATGCCAGGTCATGACACAAATCCCATTTTTAATGATTTATTTATTTTTATTTCATGTGCATTGGTGGTTGTCTGTTTGAGGGTATTGGATTCCTTGGTACTTGAGTTACAGACAGTTGTAAGCTGCCTTATGTGTGATGGGAATTGAACCTGGGTCCTCTTGAAGAGCAGCCAGTGCTCTTATCAGCTGGGCCATCTCCCCAGCCCCCATGACACAAACCTTAACAGAAGGTAACCAGGTAATCAGGTTCAAAATCCTATAAAAGTGTTGAGTGGAAGGAGTGAGTGGAAGGCTCCCAAGGCAGAACCAAACTAAGTGAGGAAGAAAATCAGCACAGGGTATGATTACAGCACGCATGTGGTTTTGTAGAATGGAGAAATCAATTCAATCTATATTTTGCTGAAATATTAAGAAAACCCTAACTTTCTCCACTAAAAACTAGCCATTGATACAATGTTACAGTTCAAACAAAGCAGGCTTTTAAGAAAACTTGCCAGGCTGGAGATCTGGCTCAGAGGTTAAGAGCACTGGCTGCCCTTCCAGAGGTCCTGAGTTCAATTCCCAGCAACAACGTGGTGGCTCACAACCATCTGTAATGAGATCTGGTGCCCTCTTCTGGCGTTGAGGTGTACATGCAGACAGAACATTGTATACATAAAAAAAAAAAAAAAAAAAAGACTTGCTAAGCTTCTGAAAGGCTCAGGATGAGTGAAGGAGGGAGAACTTACTTTGCCCGAGAAGCACTGTTTCTACCTGACTACTATATCTCATATTACTACATAGATTAAGAACTATATTTGCTTTGGGAAGTTTTCACCTTCTTATCTAATTATAACTAACAGAGTGGCTCATAGCATATGTTTAGACAATAATTCTGAAGCTGAAGGTAGGCCTATGACTGTTCTGAGCACCTAGGAATGCCTGCTATGAGAAAAGAAGAAAATACAGTGTTAGTCTACTTTCTGTTTCTGTAACAAAGTACATGAAACAAGCCTCAAGTTCAAGGCCAACCTGGGCTATATAGCAAGCCCTACTTTAAAAGTCCAGGGAGAAGGAAATGGTGTTCAGCTTGGTGGTGGGAGGCATCTTAGGTGTGACAGTGTAAATATGCTGGTTTGGATCCCTCCTCTTCATTCTCACACCTTATCTAACCCTAATTACCCCCAGAGACCCCATTTCCAAATATTCACACCTGACTCTAAGTGATTATATTTCTAATATGTGCCCTTTTAGGGAACACATCAGAAACAGCCATGTGGAGCATGTGGTGTGTATCTACACCTTTCCTACTCTGAGCCTCTGTGACACTCCCCCAGTGTCACATCAAAGCCTGTAAGCAAGCGGTGTGTTGGGGCGGGGACTGGGAGAAGCACTGGCTGAGGAGCCCACTTCAGCAGCTATTCTTTTTGGAGAAGCTTCCTGATTCACGCGGCTGAACTTCCACTCCCCATGCCAGGAGTGGAACCTAAGCCAGCATGGGGCAATAAAGGTTTGCTGAGAACTGAAAATCACAACATCAGTTTAGGTTTTACACATGCGAAACTGAAGCATACAAATTACAGTGAGCATGCGCCAACTTTCAGCATGAGAAGCAAACACACTCAGTCTTCTGACAGAAATGAAAACTCTAACTATGAGGGTAAGTGGCCATGTTCCAGGTTGTTGCTCACTTTCCTCTATTTACATCCCTTTATCTTCCTTGACCCAATATATAAGTCAACATTTCTACCCCTCTTTTTTTTTTTTTTGTCTGTTTTTCTTTCTTTCCTTCTGAGATACTGAGATAGAGTCTCACTGTATAGATGAGGCTGGCCTCAAACTCTCAGAGATCTGCCTGCCTTTACCACCCTTGTGCTGGGATTAAAAACACGCAAAACCACAGCTGGGTCATTTTTCTTGAGAAGGATCTCACTATAAACTCCTGGGGCCAATAATCCTCCTTCCTCAGCCTCTTGAGTAGCTAACTGGGACTGTAATATACACCACAGTAAACTTTGTCTCTAAGCTACTTTGAACTGATTTATTATAAAAGGTAAGGGACATAAAAAACAAAACAATACAGGGCTACAAAAGTATAAAAGAAATAATCTTACTGAAGAAAGACAAAATCGCAGATAAAAATCACCTCTTACTGTACTTTAAAATCAGAGTAGTGATTCCAGATCCATACCCTTGCCTTAAAGAGAGCATATGACAAGTGTTAAGAAATCTAACCTTTGTCTCCTCTGTCCTCACAGCATCCAACAAATGGTGCAGAAGCTCCTGGCTGTCTTGTTGCTGGAAACCTTTAAATCGTGGCGCCCTAGGATTAAAAAGAAAGAGAAGAGGGATACTCATTCCTTGGATCATGAGCAACATAGCAGTCTTACGCAAGATCATCGTGGAATAAGCTACAGTCAGCTCATTGCTTCTCAACCGAACAGACGAAACGCTCTTCCTGCCCTAGTAGAAACAAGCTCATGGGGAGTGCACTGAGAACAAAATGGCTGCCTTTCGTTAGCATATCACAGCCAGTACTAACAGTCGCACACCTTTCAACTCCTTTATCCCTAATGGCACTGAATGAGGGACCAGAAAAGTTGTTAAACTAATACACTAAGTCATACAGCCAGCAAGAAAAAAAAGCACTCAGATCCAAGCTCTGCAATTTCCCTTCTTACCTCAAAGAATAAAAAGATTAAGATATAGTCTGCATCTTACTATATTAATTTGCTTTTTATATTATAAATATATTCATATGGTTACAGGATGAATCTTAATATAACTACACTGATAACTATGTGAATATATTCCTTCTAAAGAGTTAACGTAAAGTTTCCTGTGTGATTGAATGAGACAGTTAAGTGCTATGCACAGAGATACTAATAGCCAATATTTAGCTGGTTCTGGTAATTTTTAAAGTCTGCAGAAGAACAATGCTGAGGGTATCACAATATCTGATTTCATTTTTTTCTACAGAGCCATAGTAACAAAACCAGAATGGCAGTGTACAAAAACCGTCCCGTGAACCAACAGAACAGACAATACAGACACGAATACACACTCCAATCAAGGTGTCAAAGGCATATGTTGGAAAAAAGACGGGCACTTGGGTAAATGGTGTTGAGAAAATGTATCTACACAGAGAGGAGGAAAACTGGACACCATCTTTTACTCCATAAATATCAACACAGAACCAGGCATGGTAATGCACACCTTTAGTCCCAGCACTTGGGAAACAAAGGCAGGTGGGCGGATCTCTGTGAGTTTGAGGCTAGCCTGGTCTACAAAGTGAGTTCCAGGACAGCCAAGGCTAAACTTAGAAACCCTGTCTCGAAAACAAAACGAAACAAACAAAAATATTAGCAAAAACTAACAAGAGTGCATGAAATTGTACTTTTCACAGAAAAGTAAACAATTACCAGTATGGCGAGACTGCCTTCAGATTGAGGGAAAACTCCTTGCCATAATGACTAGGTAAGTATCTAGAATATCTCTATAACAGGCTCAACAACAAAACCCACCGCCACTACTACCGCGACCATCACAACCACATACACACAGCCATAGGAAACAACCCGCAACAAATGGAGAAATAAACATTGAAGAGACAGTATTCAGATGGCCAAGAAATACAGCCACAGAGAAATGCAAATCAAAACTAGACAATGGCAGAAAGACACACACTATATACTCACTTATAAAAAAAGGATAAACATACTAAAATCTGTAGACCTAAAGAAGCTAAACAAGGAGGACCCAGGATAAGAAGATCAATATGTACTTAGAAAGACAAATGGGATGGACATTGGAAGTAGGAGAAAACAAGTAACAGGACAGGAGCCTACCATAGAGGGCCTCTGAAAGACTCTACCTAGCAGTGTATCAAAGCAGATGTTGAGACTCATGGCCAAACTTTGACAGAGTGCAGGGAATCATATGAAAGAAGAGAGAATTAGTATGACCTGGAGAGAACAGGAGCTACACAAGGACCATATGTATCTGGGCACAGGGGCTTGTCTGAGACTGATTCTCTAACCAGGGACCATGCATGGATATAACCTCATCCCCTGCTTGGACGTAGCCAATGGCAGCTCACTATCCAAGTGGGTTTCCTAGTAAGGGGAACAGGGACTATTTCTGACATGAACTCAATGGCTGGCTCTTTGACTGCCCCCCAACCCGAGGGAGGAGCAGCCTAGCTAGGCCACAGAGGAGGACATTGCAGCCACTCCTGGTGAGATCTGATAAGCTAGGGTCAGATGGAAGGGGAGGAGGACCTCCCCTATCAGTGGACTTGGAGAGGGACAGGGAGGAGATAAGGGAGGGAGGGTGGGACTGGGAGGGACTGAGGGAGGGGGCTAAGGCTAGGATACAAAGTAAATAAACTGTAATTAATATAAAAAAATTAAAAATGCTACAAGAAAAAAAATTCCATACCTGAAATTACAGATGAAAAAAAAAAAACAAAACAACAAAAACTAGACACTGAGGTTGCATTCCTTTTACAGGCTATCAGACTCACAAATTATGGCCACAAATTAAATATAATATTAGCAAACTTGATCTCCAGGACCAGCCAGAATTTCAACCTGGCGTCTCTGACCTCTGTGTCCTCTGTGCCTGTGAAAAGTGGAGCCCTGTGGCCTTTATTGGCGCTCTATGTAGACTCAGCCTGCTAACAATCCTCTGCTCTCCTCCGAATCCTCCCTATCATCATCCTCTGACCTCTTCCTCCCAGACTTTGATCTCCAGGCTGAGAGGCCTTTCACTATTTGTCCACTGACAAATTCTGCAGGACAAGGAAACCTCCTGGGTGTGACTCAGAGACACCCTGACCAGATCTCATTCCTCTACATCACAAATTCTTGGAGGTTCCTTCCCACGTTGAACTGACTTTGTGACGCTCTACCTACCCTGAGTCCTAAGCATGAAGATGCCACCTCCACTTCATTTTCATCTTCTCTCTAAACTTGGGGGATATCCCAGCCACCCCAAATAAGGCTCTTAACTGCTCTGCTTGTCATTTAAAAGTTTAAACAATTTTTAAAATGAGCTCTAAGTTATTTGGAACTTTGATTTTGACATTCTCATAGAGCAGACAATTTTCTCAAATGAAATGGCAAGTGGTCCAAGGTATCTTATTATGTCACTTTGAGAAAGAATGGTCCCCAAAGGCTCAAAGACTTGAATGCTTGGACATTAGAGAGTGGTACTTGATTAGAAGGTGTGGCCTTGATGGAGTAGGTATGGTCTTGCTGGATTACGTGTGGCCTTGTTGGAGTAAGTGTATCACTGGGGATGGGCTTTGGGGTTTCAAAAGCCCAAGCCAGGTCCAGTACCTCTCTCTCTTCCTGTTACCTTCGAATTTGGACCTAGAACTCTGAATTTCTCCAGCACCATGTCTGCCTTCATGCCATCATGCTCCCTACCATGATGATAATGGGCTAAACCTCTGAATCTGTAAACAAGCCCCAATTAAATGCTTTCTTTTATAAGAGTTGTTTGGTCACGGTGCCTCTTCACAGCAATAAAATGTTGACTAAGACATCTATGCCCAAGGCTATGCTCTACTCTCATCTCTCTCTCTCCAATTCCTGTTTTGCCTATCAGGTCTTCCTCTGCTACGAGCAGTCTGGACCCAAATCCAAAGCCCACTCCAGTTCCCTGGCTTTTCTTCTGGTGATGAACCTCCTTCCTACACTCCCACCACATACACCCCAACAGGAACAATCTCTTCACTGAGCAACCTTCCTCCTCACCCTCTGCACCTTGCCTTTCTTGCACTCCCACCCTGGCCCCTAGGTGTCAAAAGGACAACAGTATTTATCGCCTGTCCAAAACCTCTGAAAATCAACCAGGCCAACTCCCCGTGGTTTCTAACCTATACACATTCCTTTCCTCTTCTGTCTTTGACCTTAAAGATGCTTTCTTTATTGTCCCCCTACACACTCTCAACCCCTTTTTGCCTCACTTGGGAGGACCTGGATACAACCCAGCAGCTTATCTGACACTTTTGCCTCGGGAATTTCTTAGAGTTTGTCCAGGGCTCAAAAGAGGACCTCACTGCCTAGATCTATCCCCTAGTTTCCTTCTCTACTATGTAGAAGACCTCCTCTTATGCTGCCCTTCCCAACAATCTCCACCACTCCACAACCCTTCTTACCTCTCTTGCCTCTTGGGCCTACATGGTCTCCAGAGACAGGACCCCATGTGCCAACCATCGGGCACCTACCTGGGTCTCGCCATCTCACTAGAAGGGAGAACTATAGGCCAAACTAGAACAGGGAACCTCCTTGTCTACTGCATCCATGAACCAAAGGCAAACTGCTTACATTATTAGGCTTCTTTAATTTCTTTTGAATATGAATTCCCAAATTATCCCTTGCTGCTTGTCCTCTTTATGAAGCCACTAAGGGGCTCCTAGAGGACAACCCCCCACCCCTGCTCCAGGCTTTATAGGAAGCAGTTCTCTCTTGCAGGATATTTGATCCCATTGTGAACCCTGAGATTGGAACTGTAAAAACCTGTTTCTTATTTGGTGTGGCTCAACCCTAACACACACCTTTAATCCAAGAACTTTCTGTTTATTATAACAGGTGATTATGGTGTGGCTAAACCCTAGCACATACCTTTAATCCAAGAGCTTTTTGTACAAAGATTTAATAAAGTTAACCCCAGGTCAAGAGGTGACACAAGTAACTAGATGACAGAGATTAAACAGAAGGGACTCATATTTATGGTTGTGAGCCTAGCCTTTAATGGCTGAGCCATTTCTCTGGCACTAACAAGGAAAAACTTGAAGCCACTATTACTGAATTTGCCCAATCAGGCCCTGAAAAATGCAGCCAGCCACTAGCTGTTTAATGTAACTTTTTTAATTTGCAAAAAAACTATTAAGTGTGGAGAGTCTATACCCAGCTGCCATCTGATTATAAATGGCAATAAAATATTAATTCTACCCTTTAAAAAAAAAAAAAGAAAGAAAGAAAAAAAGGGAGGGACTTTAAATTGAAGGGTATTTAAGACAGTGTGGAAAAGAAGAAAGGGCTTTTGGCTTTTTCCTCCTGAACTATCAGCTGAGCTAGGAAGCTTTTGGCCTTGGGCATTTTTGCTTTTTGGCCTTTTGGCTTTGAACTTTTCGGGTTTTTTGGCTTTTTCCTTCAGGACATGAGCTGAGTAGGAAGGTTAGCTGGGTGCTTTCTCTGCCTCTCTGAGCTAGCAGGTTTTTACCCCAGCATCTGGCTCCTGAGTCTTCACTGGTAAAAATCGAACAATTTGGGATTTCAGCTCTCCTTTCCACCTAAGCAGCCATTCTCCACCGCAGTGACAACAAGAGGACAAATGATACATCTCTGCTCCCAATGACAAGGCTGACCAAACGTCTCAACTCACTGCCCAGGCCTATCTTGACTCTGCTCTGACAACAAACTCCATCCCCAGAAGTAATCCGGCACACAAACCTGGACACACACACACACCCCCGACATCCTGACTTACCTACCTTCCCTCCTTCATCCTTCATATTAGTCTCTGCTCCCCTTTCTCTACATTTAGTCACCCCTCATCTCCACGGAAAGACAAGCAAGTCCTGCAAGACTTGCCAAAAGACAAGTCCTCTGTCCTCCCCAGTCTTCATCTCACCAAATGAGAATTCAGTTACTGTCCCTAGATTGGAAGGTACACTATACCTATATGCTCCAAGTTGGGAGAAACAAATATTTACTAGTATGTATAGATACCTTTTTAGGAGGGTTGAGGCCTTCCCAACCACAAGTAAGAGGGCCCACATCATAGTTTTACACATACCTCTCTGTGACTGTCCCTTGCTTCAGTTTGCCTTTCTCCAGACAGTCAGACAATGGCCCCGAGTTCATCTCTTCAACTACCCAACAAATATCCACCTTTCTCCAGATCCCCTGGAAGTGGACATCTCTTAGTGGCCCCAATCTTTGAGGAATATAGAGAGGATGAATAAAGCCATGAAGGACACCTTCACCAAAATAATTCTAGAATTAAGGCAAGACTGGGTTGTTCTATTCAAACTCCAAAGCTTGCAAAAAAACTAAAACAAAAAAAACAAAAAATACAAAAACAAAGCAACAAACAAATAGCCCCAAAACCAAAACCAAACAAAACCTTTCCCTCATCAGTCCCTTTTAAAGTTACCAGCAGGCCTCACAGAAGGCATACCCGACTTCCTCCAGCCCTGTCAGACCCGTCTGTCCTTTCTGCACACAGAACTTGGGAAGCATACTGACTCTGTCCTACCCTCCCTGCTACTCCAGGCCCCTTTCCCTAAGCTCCAGATCAGGGATGTGATATACATCTCAGATCTAGCTCCACACTAACCCATAATTGGCAGTGCCTCCACAACTTCCTCTTACTCGCCCTCACAGCAAAATTAAATAACATCACCTTCTAGTTCACCTTTCCAGACTTTAAACGGCTCACTCCCTACTCTAGATCCCACCGAGCTCAAAATACCCAGTTTTCTAACTCTCACCTAAGAGAGGGCAACTGTGTAGGACCAGAAACAAATTGTTCCCACTTGGCTTCCAAGTTCCTCCAACGAAGACTACTAGTTTTTACCACCTAGAGGGTCACTGCACTCTTCATGGCCAAAAATCAACCTAGAAACAACCTTCATGTCCCCTCCCCATTGAGATCACAGCCCCCTGTCGTCTAGCAGGAAGCAACCTCCCCAAAACAATGACTCCTACCCTCTTTTCATGTTACCCCTCCAGCACTGGGATACGTGGGTAATGGCCTCAGGTCATGAGGAATTGCATCAGGCTGTACTGGGTGAGAGCCCCTAGCCATAAAGAGCTGCTAAGCCCCAGCCTGACCATTCAGTTCAGTTTCACCCTAGAAACAGTATGTCCAGGCAGCACAAGCAACTCGCCCTGCCGAGCTGTGATAACAGAGTTTCCTCCATCATGTATTCCTGCTGGGGCCATTTCAGGGTTAATTAGAACTTGACGTCTTCGATGGAGAATCCCATGGGAAATTACTCAACTCTCTTCTAGAAACCAAGGTTAAGATGCCCTGGCTAACATATTTTAGCCCAGTAGTTCTCAACCTTCCTAATTCTGCGACCCTTTAATACAGTTTCTCATGTGGTGACCCCCAACCATAAAATATTTTCATTGCTACTTTCTAACTGTAATTTTGCTATTCTTATGAACCATAATGTAAATATCTGTGTTTTCTGATGGTCTTTACTGACCACTGTGACAGGGTGGTTGACTCCCAAAGGGGTCCCGGCCCACAGGTTGAGAACTGCTGGCTCAGCCTCTTGTGCAGAACCCTTGAGCTTAACCACTAATCTTTGTTTCTGTTAAACTGCTTGAGAGTTTCCAAGGCTCCAGGAAACATGCAGCAATTGGCTGTGTTCAGCTTAGAGCAGGGCTTCTTTCCATGGGCCTTCCTATGGGCATTCCTGGCACAGGGAATCACAGCCTGTGGCCATGATCCATGCCTTGCAGCTGCCAGGTATGGTTTGTGCCTGTAAAAGCCCCTCGGTCTAAATGCATGGGCCACACTGACATGCAGAATCCCTGCGTGTGCTCTCAGCCAGCTACAATCTGTGTCTGAGGGCTCATCTCTGGTGGGCTCCCATAACGAACCTCAAAGCAGCTGTAATTTCCTCGGAGACACATACACACGTATATACACATGTGTTCCTCAGCCCCTCTTTCTTCTCCTTCTGCTCTTTTTTTTTTTTTTTTTCAGACAGGGTTTCTGCTGGCATTCAACTCAGAGACCCACCTGTCTCGGACCCCCACGGGCTGGATTAAAGGTGTGCACCACCACACCCCAGCCTCTCAGGTTTCTCAAGGAGCTCAGTCTTTTATCCTGTGGAAAGAATGTTTCAATAAAGCACTCTAGGCCTGATAAGACAGTCTGTCTTCTTCTCTGCTTTATTTTTCTTACAAATACCAAGTCAGGTAAGCCATTTATGGCATGTACATAGTCCGATGCACATAAAGATTTTGCTTTTAAACATAAGCTAATACCTGCAGAAATCCATAAGCTCAATTTACCTCAAAGCTCATTTTTAAAATGAGAGAAGCTAGGAGTCTGAAATGTAGTTTCATGGTAGACCTTGCCTGGCACATACGAGGCACCAATAAAAGAAACTTCTCTCTTATGCTACTTTCTAGATTTTATAGGTGGAGGAAAGGCTTCAAGCCATGAAGAATTCTTAGCCCCAGCCTGATTGTTCAGTCCCCCCTCCAGAAACCTATGTCCTGGTAGCATAAGCAACTCAACCTTGGCAAAACACAAAAACAGCTGGTGTCCTGGCTGATACCTACACATACAGCATTGCAGCAGGACACACTTCGTGTGGTCTCATTTGTGAGCTAATTCCTGAGCCTGTTTCCTAACACATCAAATGTAGATGAACAACAATTACTTCTTCAGAGGACGCTGACGAGTTAAATAACGCACAGATGTGGCTAGCAGGTGTTGCTGCTTTGTCTGGGCAGCAACAAAACAACACAACAGGAAACCCTTGGTAAGTGGGAGCGCTGCGCTCGTTCGTGTGACCTCCTTGTTCATGTCATGAATGCAGACACACTTACTTCTGACAGAGCTGATTGAAAAGAACTTTAGGAGAAAGCGGTCCTTTTTCAGCCTCCTTCATGCTGTGAAGAAACAGGAACAAGGCTGAAGTCAATGGTCCAGGGCTTGAAAGTTCCACCACTAATGGATCCTTCAAAAACATGATCAAAGCCAAGTCAGAAATATGTAACTTCAAAACAAAACATCACCGAGAATCTAAGAGCTATTCTTTATTTAAATGATAGTAACTAAATTGCCAAGTGTATTTACTTTTAGTCCTTCATATATAATTTATTGAAAAGTTGAAAAACATTGATTAAATACCTTAACTGGACTAGTAGAAATGCAGGTATTCTAAAGAGACTTGTGTCACTCAACCTGAAACAATGGACCCCAAAGAAATGGAAATTTCCCCAGGACTCTCATACTGGAAGACAGGGAAGGTGTCAACCCAAGGGGAACTTGACCTCACACAGTTGGAACAACTGACTGTCAGGTCAGTTTACAAAATGAGACTTAAGCCCTGACAATGATGAGACTTAAGCCTCATATATATATATATATATATATATATATACTAGACCTTCTATTTAAACTAGTGGTTGAAAACCCATGAGTTTCCTCCCCTTCACAAAAACCCTTAAAAGAATTTACATTACGATTCATTAACACTAGCAAAATTACAGTTATAAAGTAACAACAAAAATAATTTTATGGTTGGGGTCACCATAACATAAGGAACTTTGTTAAAGAGCCACAGCATTAGGAAGGTTGAGAACCACTGATTTAAATTTTCTTCACTTCAGGGGCCCAAAGATGGACTTCAGGACGTTCCTGGATCTTTTTGTCCCTCTTCCCAAACGTAGCCACAGTGAATAATTCTCCCTTTTCTGCTTTCCACATTTCATTCGGCTCTTTTAGTTGGTATACTGAGGACAAGTGGCCAGACAGGACTTGGCACAAGTTTGTTAACAATGCCTTGCTCTAAGGAAAAACGGTATTTTCCAGTATCGTTTACCTTTTATTTAAGGAAACCAAAGCCTGAGCTCGCTCACTAGTCCTCAGTCCATTCTACCTGTCTCTTGATGTGCTTTTCTGCACGCAAAAGTATAAACCTGCTTAGTATTTGTACAAACTCACAAATGAACACAAATTACACTTATTAGAACTTCACCTTACCTCAGGAAGTCTCAGGAAGCCTAGCAGAAAGGGTAACTGAGGTGCCATTAACTCCCGGGTCACTCAGCCCAGGGCTCCTCCCAGCTCTTCTTACTCAGCTCCCAACCTAAACTCCCTCTTTGGAGCTGGGCTTCAGCGGCCCTTCCCCAAGCCTAGGGCCTATATATATAACCCAGCTATTTTAGCTGGTAAGCAGTCAACAGACTGCAGGGTCATATCGTGAGTCTGCTGACAACAAATTCCACCCTCAGAGGCAAGCTTGCGCACACAAGACACCCTCTCTGCCACTGGGAACTGGCCTCTTGACCCGCCACGTTCTGCCTCTGCCTGCGTTCCCCTTTACATCTACAATAAAAATCTTCATACTTTAGGAGTAGTCATGCCCTCCTCCTTCTATTTCATTTTTTCATTGACTTACTTTTTCCCAAACCTTTTACTAATAAAAGAAGAAATGGAGAATTATGTGACAAAGTTAAAAATTAAAAAATTAAAGGTAGCAACTGTGTTAGGGATTAGCACATTTTAGGGATTTCTTGCTAACCCCTTTCCTGCCTCTAGGGAAGCATGATCCTGATGACTGACTGCAACCGCTCTCAAAAGCGAGATCACGAACGACACTTAGTCTTCCTCTAAGGACTGCAAGGTGTGCACACATCCACAGTTACTTCCCACTTTGTTTGTGTGGTGTTGGGGACTGAAGATATCCTAAGCAAACACTCACCAAACAAACCCTGTTTGTTTGTGTGTGTGTTTGTTTGTTGAGACAGGGTTTCTTTGTGTAGCCTTGGCTGTCCTGGACTCACTTTGTAGACCAAGCTGGCCTCAAGCTCACAGAGATCTGCCTGTTCCTGCCTCACTGAGTACTGGGATTACAGGCATGTGCCACCACACCTGTCTAAAAAAGGTGATTTCTGAATGATGCCAGTCAATGACAAAGTAAGAGGGACATGGACAAATGCACAACACAGTGAACTTTGAATTAAAGAAGACTTAGTTTTTATACTTACCTACTACTTTTGGTATTAAAACACCCTTTTAGACACTCTCCATGGATACTGAGAGACAACTATGCCAAGGCAAGTTAAAAACTAAAACCTGCCAGGAGCAGGGGCACATGCCTGTAATCCCAGCACTAGGGATTTTTAAAAATCATTTTTACAGTCTCTCAAAGTAGCTGGGATCCCAGACATGAGGAATCATGCCCTGTACCCTTTTTAAAAAATAAAGATGAGGGTCTCACCACACATTGCCTGGGCTGCCTTGAACGACTTGGATCAAACCACCACCTCGCTTCCACCTCCAACTCAACTTTCTGGGACAATAAGCACATGTACTAACTACACTAGCTCTCCACACCATGACTGCCAACTGCTGTCAGGCCTTTCCGGCAAAAGTCCACCCAACACACAGACAATGAAATAAAGTCAGCCAACTACTTGTTGCCACAAGGTAGAACATACATTCTTTGGGAATGCTGACTTTCTCAGTTAAGGGAGTGTTAGAGATTACCTTTCAAAGATTTATATTTCCTGTAAGTAATTTGACACAGAATCTAAAGAAATAAGGATTTATTCTCGATGACTGCCATCAGCCAACAGAGGTAATTCTACCAGTGCCAATCTCAACAAGTCTAGAGAGAGGGAAAAAGAGGACTGAGGTATGCCTGCTAAAGAAGTAGCTGTCATTCACCTTCCTGTGAGCCGACAGAGAGATACTGGGTTTCCTTTTCCTTTTCTTTCCTTTCTGTTTTGCTTTGTTTTGAGACAGGTTTCTCTAGGTTTTTCTTTGTAGACCAGGCTGACCTCGAACCCAGAGAGATCTGCCTGCCTCTGCCTTTCTGAGGGCTGGGATTACAGGTGCGTGCCAGCGTGCAGCGTGCCCAGCTGGTACCAGGGTTTTCTAAGTGGCAGAGTAAAATGTGTTTTGTGTGTATTTAGGTAAATTACAGAATGGCCTTACTTTGTTCTCATTTTGTCCCAGTCTCAGAATCTAGCTTAAGGCTGCCCTACCATGAGCCTGAGAAACGTGGCCTGCCTGTGGGTGTTAGGAGGCCAGCTGCCAAGGCCAGCAACAACTCTCTTTGCTATTTTCTTTCTTTTTCATTACCTTAAAATTCCATCATCAGACTAGACTTCAAAACCCCTTACATGAACAGCCTGTGAGAGGCCTGCTTGACAGGTAAAGGCACCTGCCATCCAGCCCAATGGCCTAAATTCAATCTCCAGGGGCCACGATGGAGAGATATGGATCCCACAAGTTGCCCTCTGACCCCACACCTGCATCATGGCACACACCAAATAAACTGTTAATAAAAATATCTTAAACCTTCAGATGCTAAATATTTAAATCTAAGTTTAAACAACAGCAACCGACATTTAAATACACATTACCATTGACTACAAAACAAGGGTCCCAGACATTTTGCTCAATAAAAGTTCGACTCTTATTTTTTCCAGCATGTGCACATAAAAATTTGCCTTAATGTTTTTGTACTTGATGTACTTAATGTTTTTGATCTGTGATATGTCTGAATCATGGAATGTCTTAAGGTCACAATTTCTGAAAGTTTTTTCTGATTATTATTTGATGAGACATTTTTAAATTGTGTTTTAGAGTTCTCTGACTACAGTCCTTTTTGGCAGTTTAGAGAAACAGAAAAGAAAAATTTGGGAAACAAATATTATGTGGCTCTTATACTTGTTACTCACCAGCTGTGGAGCTGACGAAAGAGAAATCTTGAATTTTGTGCCATCTTCTTTTATCTCATTCATAAGTTCAAACAGAATGTATGTCTGAGCCAAGTTCTAAACAACAGAAAAGGTCAAGCGTCCTGGTTCAGTTAGAGTATGCCTCTTATTTGATGAAATAAATACTCTCAACGTTTCAAATCTCATGTAGCACAGCAAAACACGTTCATTTAAAAATCTAAAGGTTCTGACTAAAAAGCTCAATCCCCATCCCGAAGGCAAAGAGGATGGACATCAGGAGAAGAAGAAAACAGGAAACAAGCTAGGAACCTGCCACAGAGGGCCTCTGAAAGGCTCTGCCCTGCAGACTATCAAAGCAGACACTGAGACTTATGGCCAACTGTTGGGCAGAGTGCATGGAATCTTATGTAAGAAGTGGGAAATAGTAAGAGCTGGAGAAGACAGGAATCCCACAAGGAGAGCAACAGAACCAGAAAATTTGAACTGGAGAAGACAGGAATCCCACAAGGAGAGCAACAGAACCAGAAAATTTGAACACAGGGGTCTTCCCAGAGACTCGTACTCCAACCAAGTACCAGGCATGGAGATAACCTAGAACCCCTGCACAGATGTAGCCCATGACAGTTTAGTGTCCAAGTGGGTTACATAGTAATGGGAACAGGGACTGCCTCTGACATAATCTGATTGGCCTGCTCTTTGATTACCTCCCCCTGAGGGAGGAGTAGCCTTAGCAGACCACAGAGGAAGACAATGCAGCCACTCCTGATGAGATCTGATAGACTAAGATCAGAAGAAAGGAGAGGAGGACCTCCCCTATCAGTGGACTTGGGTAGGGGATACGTGAAGAAGGGGGAGGGAAGGTGGGACCAGGAGGGGAGGAGGGAGGGGCTTATGGGGGGATACAAAGTGAATAAAGTATATAATTAATAAAATAAATTTTTTTTAAAAAAATCTAAAGGTTCTGTTGGTCTCCTTGTGGAGCTCCTGTCCAATCCAGGTCTTTCTATCTCCCCCTTCTTTCATAAGATTCCCTGCACTCTACCTGAAGTTTGGCTATGAGTCTCAGCATCTGCTTTAATACCCTGCTGTGTAGAGTCTTTCAGAGGCCCTCTGTGGTAGGCTTCTGTCCTGTTCCCTGTTTTCTCCCTCTTCCAATATCCATCCCATTTGCCTTTCTGAGTGAGGACCGGTCATCTTACCCAGGGTCCTCCTTCTTGTTTAGCTTCTTTAGGTATATAGATTTTAGTAAGTTTATACTATATTATATGTCTAATATACACTTATAAATGAATATATACCATGTGTGTCTTTCTGCTTCTGGGATACCTCACTCAGGCTGTTCTTTTCCTAGTTCCCACCACTTGCGTGCAAATTTCATGATTTCCTTGTTTTTAATTGCTGAGTAGTATTCCATTGTATAAATGTACCACAATTTCTGTATGCATTCCTCTGTTGAGGGACATCTGGGCAAAGGGGACTTTTCTGAGACTGATACTACAAACCAGGACCATGCATGGAGTTAACCTAGAACCCCTGCTCAGATGTAGCCCATGGCAGCTCAGTGTCCAAGTGGGTTCTCTAGTAAGGGAAATAGGTACTGTCTCTGACATGACCTCAATGGCTGGTTCTTTGATTACCTCCCCCTAAGGGGGAAGCAGCCTTACCAGGCCACACAGGAAGACAATGCAGTCAGTCCTGATGAAACCTGATGGCTAGGGTCAGACGGAAGGGGAGGAGGATCTCCCCCATCACTTGCCTGGGGGACGGGCATAGGAGAAGAAGAGGGAAGGAGGGTGGGATTGGGAGGGAACTATAGTTGGGATAAAAGTGAATAAACTGTAATCAATAAAAAATAAATTAATTTTAAAAAATAAAAATCTAAAGGTTTAACTGAATATGCCTCATGTTTTCTATCAGTTGGACTAATGAAGCACTATAAGACAAGACTTCCAAGTAGAACTGTTGAGTACACATACCCCAAAGAAGAACAGAAAGAACTTTATAGAATAACATCCAACAGTCCTTGTACAGTCTACACTACAGATGTGTTTGCTCAATTTAACTAATTCAAATAACTGTTTACAGTTTGGAAATGAGTCTGATGACTCTTACCTGAATGACTGCATTAAAGAAGCAAGTATTTCCTAAGTTTGTAATTCCTTTAACAGATGGCACACAGCTGCCTTTTCTTCCTTTCTTTAGTTCACCTGTTTCACGTTTTTCTTCACAAAGCTTTATGATTCTAGAAAATGCACCTATGAATGATAGGAAACACATGAGGTGTAAAATTAAATTTGTGTCACTTGACAATTTAAATATATTATTTAAAACCAAATAACAAGACCAGAAAATATTTTTTATTTTTATATTTTATTTCTATTGAATTGAACTCATCGTAATATAAATCTCTGTACCTTACACATTACAGAATAATTTTCTTGATGAGTCTAAAAGCTTAAAGAGAAACAAGTGATCAGACCTTCCTTCTACACACCATTCCCCAAAAGAAAAGGAGTGCTTACACACAAGCTGACTCTAAGCTTCCAGTAGCAAAGATGGAAAATGAGTCTATAAAACTGTTGTATCACAGAATAAGAAAGGGCTCAAACTAATAATGAATACGCGGACTTGGTAGGATACTCCAACATTCACAGCACACGGGAGGAGGTAGAATGATTTGAAACTCAAGGTCATCTTCAGCTACAAATAGAATTTGATCTCATGCCTGGGCGGCATGAGATCTTGCTCAGAACAAACAAACCACTGGCATCAAAATTTGAACATCAAGGTAAATACAGTACTAAAACAGATGATTACAGAATGGATGCAAACTGATAATAGATTTTTAGAATGAGGTTAAATGATGAGGGGTTCTGTGGTGTTTTAGTGTACGGGTATTTTGCCCACACAAATGGCCTTGTGCTACGTAGCCTAACAGCCACAAAAGCCAAGAAGGGCGCTGGACCTCCTGGAAATGGAGTTACAGGGGCTTGTGACCCACCATGTGGGTGCTGGGAAGCAAACCCAAGTCCTCTGAAAGAGCAGCCAGGGCTCTTAACCACTGGGCCAGCTCTCCAGCCTCCAAAGGGAAAACATTCCCCCACCCCTTGGAGACAGGGTCTCACTATGTAGCTCTGGCTGTCCTGGAACTCATTATGTCCACCAGGCTGGCTTCAAACTCAACAGAGATCTGCCTGCCTCTGCCTCCTGACAGCTGGAATTCAAGTCAAGCATCACCATGTCAGGCTCAGAGGGAAAACTTTTCATGACAACTAGTAAACAGGAGAAAGAACATGGTCAGGAAGACTACCATCTTAGAGTGATGATGCCTCTTCTAACATTTGGCAGCTTTGCTGTGAGTTTGATATTTCAAAAGCTGAAAGTTAATAGGATCACAATATACAACAAAAAGTAAATATCTAAATACTAAGCTTGAGTGCCACAGGGTTGTTCTGAAAATCACAGTATTATTTTTTATTACTTGTTTTTCAGATAGGGTCTATGTAGCTCTGCTTGGCCTAAAACTTGCCATGTAGTTAGTTAGTTCTGAACTTGCCTCAGCCTCTCAGGTGCTGGAATTAAAGGCATGTAATACCACGCCCAGTTGAAAATCTGGTTATTAGTTTGTGTTCAATGACAATGTAAGAATAAAGAACAATTCCTAACATTTATAAACTGACATGTTGATCATACATATGTAATAGATTATAACTCAAAACCATCACCTAGGGGACTGTGAATATACCTTACTTCAGAGACTGTTTGCCTAGCATACATGAGGCCCTATGTTCACTCCCCATGAGAAAGCACCAGGCTGATGGCATATACCTGTAATCCTAGCATGTGTGGATGGAAGCAGGAAAACCAGAAATTCAAGGGCATCTTCAGCTATATAGTGAGTTTGGGACCAACCTGGAATACATGAAACCCTGTCTTAAAGAAGAAACAAAGAAAAAACTATTACAGTCTTCCCTTGATATACCTACAGCAGACCATGATTCCAGGACTGAACAAAATCAAAGATGCTCAAAACCTTCATATCCATCTTAGGAATTCATCAGGAATAAAAAGGCTGGATTTCTACTAGTTACTGTCAGAACTGGATGTTCACTGATACTGTATTTTTTAATTTTTTTTATTAATTATATTTTATTTACTTTGTATCCCCCCTGTAGTTCCCTCCCTCCTCCCCTCCCAATCCCTCCCTTCTTCCTCCTCCTCCTCCACACATGCCCCTCCCCAAGTCCACTGGTAGGGGAGGTCTTCCTTTCCTTTCTTCTGATCCTACTCTGTTAGGTCTCATCAGGAGTGGCTGCGTTGTCTTCCTGTGTGGCCTGGTAAGGCTGCTTCCCCCTCAGGGGGAGGTGATCAAAGAGCAGGCCAATCAGTTCATGTCAGAGACAGTCCCTGTTTCCATTACTATGGAATCCACTAGGAGACTGAACTGTCATGGGCTACATCTGTGCAGAGGTTTTAGGTTATCTTCATGAATGGTTCTTGGTTGGAGTATCAGTCTCAGAAAAGACCCCTGGGCCCAGATTATTTGGTTCTGTTGCTCTCCTTGTGGAGCTCCTGTCTTCTCCAGATCTTACTATTTCCCACTTCTTTCATAAGGTTCCCTGCACTCTGCCCAAAGGTTGGCCATAAGTCTTAGCATCTGCTTTGAGATACTGTATTTTTGTATCTTGTTTTCACATATATTAACTTTATATAATAATGGGTTTCATTATTATTGAGATGTTCACCCTTCATTATTACGCCCTTTTCTCTTCCTACACTTGTTGATCCTTGCTTCCCAGCCATTCTCATTTTTATGTCCCATGGCTGTTCTGTTGTCGGTGCTGTTTTGCTGATTCAATTTTTTAGTGTGCCTCACAGGATCCTAAGTGGGGAACCATTTACAAATGCAATGGCTTCTTACTAGTGGCTATGCCACTAAAGAAAATGGCTCTACGTCAGGTTTGATGGCACATGCCTTCGGCTCCAGCACTGTCTCAGACAAGTTAAGTGACTTACTTAAGGTCCTAACAGTAATATTCTAAATATAGCCCAAAACTTTACAACTTACATTCTCATCGATGACTTACGGTAAATAAAATTTATAAAAAAACAATAAGCCAACACTGGGTGTGTGCTGCTCCGAACAAACAAATCCTCAAAAGACTTTCCTTTGTTTAACATCCTTACTAAGTGTTGTGACATGTAACACAGCTGAGACAAGGGCTCACCTGGCCTCACCTGGGTGCGATCCTCCTGCTTCCTTCTCAAGTGTTCAGGGCTACAGACATTATCAACATGCCAGTTTTATGCCATGTTCAGGACTGAACCCAGGCCTCTTAGATCCTAGTCAAGCACTCTATCAACTGAACTACACTGTTCTTTTAAATTTTCTACACAAAAACAATGGTTGGGAGAAATAAATACAGAAAGTAACTACAAATAAATAAATACTATACACAATCACTCAGAAAAATAGTCCTAGAAATAAGTAACATTTAAAAAATGTAATATGCAATTTATATATCTGTATACCTCATTAACCCATCACTTTTTAAAACATCTGGGATGACATCCCAAAGTAAACAATGTTTATAAGACCATCTGGACAAAACTGCAGGCAAAGAAAAAAAGCATAAACATATGGAAAAACAGCTTTTCCCCTCCCCTTCAGCAGGAAGAAAAGACAAATGTCAAGCTGGAGCCATCCTCGCTTCACTGTGCGGTGCTTGGCAGCACCACCTGGCCCTCCGTGCAGCCACCAAATATGGACAGCACTGCCAGAAAGGACAAGCCCCCAGGGCAGCCGCAATAAACACAGCTGACTTCACGCTTAAACAGCCACTTCACACAAGTGGCGAGGGTCTGTGTGTTCACTTGTACACGTCCATGAGAAAATACTCAAGATTAGCAATGTTATTAGGCTGATTAAATAGATCGTTAATTTAACCAGAACACAGCAGCATTTTCTATTTAAATTTTCTAAATAAAAAGCTACCTTTTTATTTAAAGTATTGGGAAAGTTTTAGAATATGGAACAATTTAAATTCAACTGTTTTATGGAATGTCCATAGTGTGCTAGGTATTACATGAACCACTATTATTATTTATATAGAAAGAACACTTAGAATTAATGACCAGAAAGCCTTGAACTTATGGTGTTATCTTAGCAAAATTAAGTATACATTTTGTACATTGCTTCACTAAGGAACTGTCTGCTGAGAGCCAAGATTCTACTTTAAAATGGGAAGGAGGGTATCTGAATTAGTCAATTATTTCATACTTAAAGGCATGTGTGTTTTTGCTACCATGTACGGTTTATGTGCCATTAGAGCTTGAATCCCAGCTTTCAACCCCTAGGCAATCTAGGCAAGCCTGCTAGAAAATGAGCTGTACCATAGTCCCACTACTTTCAGAAACACAAACCCAAATATCCTAAAGACTGAACTCCAAGAATTGTCTGGAGTGTGCTATAATGAAAAGAGCAAAACTGCTACAATAAGAAGATTTTTTAAAGAACATTCCATTTTTTACATAAAGTTTTACCCACAACTAAAAAAAGGGAAAAAGGAAGGAAAGGAAAAGAGAGAGAGAGAGAGAGAGAGAGAGAGAGAGAGAGAGAGAGAGAAGGGGAGAAAAAGAAGAGCCCAGCAAATCTGCACGGTGATAGAAAAGGGAAGGCAATCCCTCTGAGGCACAGGCTGGATTCAATTTCTGAACATCTTCGGAGTCAGACTTAAACCTTTACAGTAACAGTTTATGGCAGCTGTGTCCAAACAGTTCCTCAAAGAATTAAGTCTCTGCCCAGTGGTGGTAGAGAACACTTTTAATCTCACCACTCGGGAAGCAAAGGCTGATCTCTGAATGGGACACCAGCATGATGTAGAAAGCGAGTTCTAGGACAGCCAACGCAACACAGAGAAAAACAAAACAAGAACTAAGTCCTCGGCTGGAGGGTTGAGCACTGGCTGCTCTTTCAGAGGACCTAGGCTCCATTCTTAGCACACGCCATGTTTAACTCCAATCCAGGGGATCCAGGGCCCTCTTCTAACCAACTTGGGACTGCATAGAGGTGGTACAAAGACATAACATTTTAAAAAGCCCTAATGCCTTAATCACACACTCTTATGTGTTTAGCGTTATGCCAGTTTTAGGACAACTTATGAAATAACACTTCAAATAATTTTCTGGAAACTGTGGTTCAGATAAAAACTGAACTTAAATGCACTCAGGTAAGAATCAGTTGGATTTTGTTTGATTGACCGTTTTTGTTTTTTTTTTTTTGAAGGTGTGAGTGGGTTTTGTTTACGTTTTAGCCTCAAACTCACTGGGGTTACATCTCTACCACATCAGCTTATTTTTTTAACATCTGTTATCTTTTCCTCCCAATTCCTTACTATACATGGAAACTACTATTTATTTTTTTTTAGAATTAATGTTTTAATGATCTAAAAATTTTTTTGTTGTTTTGTTTTTGTGGTTTTTTTTTTTTGGGGGGGGGCATGGTTTGAGACAAGGTTTCTCTGCATATAGCCCTGGCTGTCCTGGAACTCTTTCTGCAGACTATGCTGGCCTCAAATTCACAGAGATCTGCCTGTCTCTGCCTCCCCAGTGCAGGGATCAAAGGCATGTGTGGCAGTGATCCCAATATTTTATTTACTACATCTGGCACACTCTTGGATGACATCAGGCCTAATCATTCCTCTGCTTTCTTGCTGTCAACAATCTTAATGTGCTGGCTAGTTTTATATTAACTTGACACAAGGTAGAATCATCAGAGAGATGACTCTGTTTTCTCAATTAAGAAAATACCTCCAAGCCGGGCAGTGCTGGCACAGACCTTTAGTCTCAGCACTCACGAGGCAGAGGCAAGTAGATCTCTGTGAGTTTGAGGCCAACCTGTTCTACAAGGCAAGTCCAGGACAGCCAAGACTATACACAAGAACTGTGTCCTGAAAACACAAGAGAGAGAATTCCTCCATAAGACTAGGCTGTGGGCAGGCATGTAGTACTTTTTCTTAATTAATGATTGATGGGGGGGGGGGGGGGGGTCCAGCCTCTTGCAGGTGGGGCTGCACCTTGGCTGGTGGTTCTGGATTCTACAAGAAAGAAGGCTGAGGAAGATGGAAACAAGCCAGTGAGCAGCTCTCCTCCACGGCCTCTACATCAGCTCCTGCCTCCAGGATCGTGCCTTGCTTGAGTTCCTGCCCTCGTTATTTCTGATTATGAACTGTTATATGGAACTGTGAGTGAAACAGATCTTTTTAGTCATCGTGTTTCCTCACAGGAACAGTAACCCTAAGACAGACTGGTCCCAGGGACATGTAGTAGGCATGACTGTAATAGACCCGAGAATTGTGGAAGGAACGGGAACTTTACGCCAGAGAAGCCACTGAGTGTTGAGAGCTCACTGGGCTGTCTGCAAAGAGCGCTGAAAGCCACACAGAAGTTTCTTACAGTTCTGGGTTCTGCAGGAGCAAGCTGAGCAAGCCAGTGAGCAGCACCCCTCCACTGTCTCTGGGTCAATCCCTGCCTCCAGGCTCCTTCCCTGCTTTTGATATGGAACTCTCAGTGAGATAAGCCCTTTCTTCCCCAGGCTGCTTTTGGTCGCGGCGTTCATCACAGCGACAACGGTAACCCTGAGACATTTAATTAGGCTGCTTTGATGCTCAGCACAAAGGGCCTCCATCAACCTGGCACATGTACAACCAAAGCCCCCACAAGCACAAAGAGATGGCCTTGGCAGCTTCACCAGTCCCGTGTGCTGGCCTTCATGGGGAAGGGCAGTGCTCAGCACACCCTGTGGGGCAGTAGTATTGGCCAGTAGCCCTCCAGCAGCTACACCTTCCTCTGCTTGGTGTACAGCTAAAGTCAAACCTTTCCCACCGACGCCTCTGCCTCACAGGACTGGACGGTGGCAGAAAGAGCTAGGGCTCATCTTGTGAAAATGCAAATAAAAGCAGGACTTTCATGTTATGGCTGAAAAAACAGTACTAGTACTTGCCTTTTTAAAAGGTATTAAACCATATTCTAACTTCTATCAAAGGTCACAGTATTATTTATCCCCAGCTTCAGAACCTAATCAAATCATTTAATACTGTTTTACTTCAAAAACAGTATATATGGGGGCGGGGGGGAGGCATACAAAAACATACTTTCTAAAACAAACATTCTTCGGGTCTTTGTACCCCAAGAAACATTATCATAATGAACTCAACAGTATATACTTTATTTTCTTTAGTCCTGATAAAAATAGCACCCTGCCAGCACAGACATTTTGAGCTAAATAGATGCTCTAGAAAGAGGATGGAATTTTCAATCTCCTGTGTATTTCACAAAAAGGAAACCAATATCCATCAATATTCTATCAGGAATTCGTGAATATGGTATTTGTGTAATACTCTCATTATACAAGCCTGCTAAAGTAATGCAGCTTAATGATCCTTTCAGAGTACACAGGTCACTTAAAAAGATTGTGAGATTTTTAGGTTCAAAGCAAAATTGAGCCACACACCCTTACCCCCACACATTCAAAAACTGTTGTCAACACTCACCACCAGAATGGTTCATTTGTTAGAACTGATGAACCTACGCTGACACTTGATTATCACTCGGCATCCTGGGTGTACAATAGGTTTCCTCTGTGGTGTACGTTCCTTTCAGATGGACAAATACAGAATGACAGGCATCCACCCTTATCAGATGGGACAGTTTCATGGCCCCAAAAGCCCTCTGCACTTTGTTTTTCCTTCCCCACAGGCTCTGCCAACCTCATTCATGCTTCTATTGTCTTCAGGTCTCTGGCTTGCTTATTAATGACCCATTTTTCAGGATGGGTCTTGCAAGGACATTTTTTGCCTCTTTTCAGTCTTGTGATATATATGACCTTTTCATTATGCCTGTGACAAGGGTGAGTGTTCTCCCAACCCCCATCCAAAGTCTAACATCAGATGTGAAATCTACACAGCTGTAAGCATTCTTCTGGGAACCTGCACTGGATTCATCTCAATTGCTTAATGCAATTACCTAAACCAGTCATGTAGTATTAATGCTAATTTGCCCATTTCTACAGCTGAAAGAAGTTTTAAGAAAAACCTTTTCACCATAATTCCTCTAGTTTTAAACTGATTAATGTGTCTATTTATTCTCAAAGTCTAATCATCAGCCTTATGACTACTTATTTAGTCATATGATAAATGCCACTGTGATAATAGGTAGTATATATCCATTTCTACTGTCTTATGTTACAAGTCCAATAACCTGTCTAAAATACATCTCTGACCACTCACTTCTTGACTGCAAGATTAATCTAACAAGGGCTCGCCACTGTCCTAAGGACAGATCTCACAGTAGGAGGCCCTAGGCCACCCAATCTCAGTTGTTCCGTGTCCATGTGCTCATGTATTTGTCTTTCTACATTCCCTCGCTGCTCCAGTCAGTCTTTGGTCCAGTCCGGAACTATGCTGGCTGCAGCAGTAAAACACAGGTTTTCAGAGCTTTACAGGGCAACTGACAGCACTTGTGATCCAGAAGCAGATACGAGAATATAGCTATTTTTGCTCTGCAGTGTTGGCACGTCTTTAACGTCAGCACTTGCAAGGCGGAGGCAGGCAGATCTGAGTTTGAGGCCAGGCTGAATGCGTTCAGGACAGCCAAGGCTACAAAGAAAGAGAGGAAGGGGGAGAGACAGAGAGAGACAGAGGCAGAGAGAGAGAGAGACTGTAGCTATTTTCTATTGAGCCAAACAGTAAAGACATTTATAAAAATGTAAAATACTACTTATTCAACCTTATTTTGAAAAATATTTGTTGTTCCTAAAAATAGTATTTATGTTAACATGGAATTATTGATATTCTCAGTGAACATTTAAACTTTCTAGTTTTCCCTTTTAACAAAGACTAACAGATATAGCTACATAACCAAAGTTCCTTGAACCTCAAACACTTTTTTAAAAGAACAAACGAGAGGTGACATCAAAATCTTGAGACTCAAAGAGCTCCTTGTTTTTGGAGGTACACAGGGAACTAGCCCAGATTCTCTATAAGTAACATTAAAAGCGTTAGAAGGCAGAACTTGAAGCATGCTTTGCGAACAGGTACTGGCTTTCTTCTCAGTGGTTATTTTTACTCAGTGCATAATCATCATTAAAAGAAATTTTCAATATCATTCTTCCCTAAACAAAGAACTACAGGCAACTGAGGAAATCTGGGAGTGGGAGAGGTGGCCCAGCCCAGGGAAGAACACACACAATCAGGCCTGAAATATATACATATAAGCAACATTATATAGGCTGTATCTAGAAATATATAATTATATACAAATACATTCAATAACAACTCATAAAAAAAGAAAGCCATGAATTTGAAGGAGAGCAGGGAGGTGGTCTGGAGGGAGGAAAGGGAAAGGAGAAATTACAGTCTGGGGGCTGTAGAGATGGTCAGCAGTTGAGAGCAATGGTTGCTCTTCCCGAGGACCCAGGTTCAGTTCCCAGTACCCACATGGTCACTCACAGTTCTGTTTGTAACCCCAGTTCCAGAGGATATGATACACTCACACATGCAGGCACACATGCAGGCAAAACACCAATATACATATAAATGAATACATCTTTAAAACAAACAAACAAACAAACAAACAGTTGATAGCCTGCTCCTACTTCCAGTTCACTCTCTGATTTGTGTGACTTGTTTCCCGATCCTGTCACTTGCTTCAATGCTTCCTTACTCCATGATGCACTCTTAACCCTACAACTATAAACCAAAACAAAGTCCTTCTTCCTTAAGTTGCTTTTGAACACAGTATTCTATCACAGCTCTTAGAAAAGTAAGTGATACCAAATTCTCAGCAAAGCTCATGCACGTAGCTTGGATGTCCTGTTCACAGAAACCTTAGTTGAGCAGGGAGGAGTTGGTCACTATGAGCATGTCTTTGGTGGCTGCATCTTGCCATGGCCCCTTCCTAACTCACTGTCTCTTCCTTCCACTAATATCTGCTTCCTAGTCAGGATGAGGCAGGCAGCTTTCCTGTGGCTGCAGTGGTGTTCTGATTCACCACAGGTCCACAGCACTGGAGCCAGCTGACCACAGACAAAACCTGACACCATTAAGACACAGGGATAAAATAAATTCTTCTTGTAAGTCTCCTTCAGGTTTCTGTCACATCCAACAAATTCCCTCCCTAATATTTTTTCTACAATTAAGTATTCAAGAGATATGAAGAACTGGATGGCTAAGACTCTGGCTTTATTCTGAACCTTAGGGAACCTAAGTAAGAAAGGTAGAAAAACGGTTTCCCCATCATTGCTGGCATCAAATGACTGTGTGAGTCCTTGTGGCCAATAAAGCAAACCCAATGTGCTGTTCTCCAGAGACACCACTGAGACCAAATTCAGTTGCTGAAGCACTCAAGGTCTGTCACCACATCTACCTGGTTTCTTGTTTCACCAGAAATTGAGCCATGACTGGCATAACCTGAGACAAAGTAAGAATCCCAAAAATGCTTGTTAAATAAGTTAAATACAGAAGTAATAAAATGAATGGTTTCTTTTGCTCTCCAGAACACTGGGCTTATAGCCCCTCCTCCTCTGACTTTGCCATGACGACCTCTTCAGGTTGACAGGTAGCTAAGAAAGACAACTACATACTAGACTACAGGAATTCAATTGGGGACTATGCTTTTTGTTTGTTTGTTTTTGTCTTTTATGACAACTAAAGGATCAAGGCTGTAGCTCAGTGGTACTGTCTGCCTATCCAGAACAAGGCCCTGGGATCAAACCCTGCACTGTTAAAAAAAAACAAGTAAACAAAACAAACCTTTTATCATAACTCTACTTTTACAAAATCTTTCAGTTGCTGGTGCTGTATTCCAAGCACGTAATTTCTTCAAAGGCATCTCAAGGGCCACCTAGGTAGCTCAGGAGTGAGAGCCTAGTGTCTGATCCCCCGGACCCACACAGTGAAAAGAAAGAACCAGTTCTCACAGTTTGCCTTCTGGAATGTGTACCACCGCCACCCCAGCACTCTACCAGCCCTGGTACACATGCACACGCACGCACACACATACACTGACTCTCCTTCCACCATGGGGGTTCCAGGGGTTAAACTGGAGATTATCAGGCAGACTTCGCAGAAAGCAACTTTATCCATCTTACAGGCCCAAATAAATGGAAATCCTTAAACTGGGGCCAACAACAGACTGGTGGGCAGTTTGATCCCTGAACAGTAAAGTTGGGCGTAGGTCTGAGTGAGCTAGGATCAGAACAACACTGCAATTATGTAACAGTAACCATAGAGGAAGTTCCAAAAATGCGTGTCAGGATCTAGTCACATATTTTCACAAACATTATTCTAAATCTTCAAGAAGTATTACTGCCAAGCTTCAAAACAGAATTCTTATTCCAATTTTATCATAAGGAAAGGAAGGAGTAGAAACCCATAGCTAATAGTGTAGGACAATAAATTCAAACTAGAACTGTTACATTTCAAAGCTCATGCTAGCTACACACTTCCATTTCTCATATTAGAAATATAAATACATTACATGAACGCAAGATGAGGCAGCTGGCTAGGAATATATGACATGGCATTATTTACTCAAATGACTGAGAAAAGTCATAGTGAAATCAAAGATGTGGTTTGTTTTGTTTTTGAGGATGGCCTGAAACACCTTGTGTATACTGGGCTGGCCTCAAATGCACATAGGTCATGGCCTCTGAGGCTGAGTACTGGGATCAAAGGTAGATATTATTATTTTTTAAATTTAAATTTATTTTTTATAATTTATTCAAGGTAGATATTCTTTATGAACTCCTTATGCAAAGTGTGAAACATCTTATTTTAATCCAAAATGCTTTATCAAATTGCTTAAGTTACCTGTTTGTGTTTTAAGAACATGTTTCTGGAGAGAGTCAACTATCTGAGCCAAAACCTTCTTGTTACAATGCGTTGATAATTGTTCATTACATTCATAACACCTGAAAAATAGGAATGAAAGCAGATGTTATGAAAGCCCCTTCAGTGATCACACATAAGGCATGCACTTAACAACTTCTGTCTTTACATTGTACAGGAATCAGGAGCTCAGAGGGGAAGGTGTTCCCTATGTCTGGACAAAGAAGCAAGGGCCAGGTCATACAGATCCTTACAGTTGGTCGTAAGTGTAATAGAATGTCATAAGATTTCAGGCAGAGGGATGACATGGCCCAACGTGTACCCAATTCATGTGGGTTTTTTGGTTTTAGTTGTTGTTTTGTTTTGTTTTGTTTTTTAGCAGTATCCAGTATGCAGAAGGCAAAGGCAGGCAGATCTGTATGAGTTCAAGAGCCTCTGGTTGAGTTCCAGAACTGCCAGGGCTATGTAGATAGACCCCATCTGAAAAACAAGATAAAACAAGAGCAACAACAAAACCAGGGCAGGGTCTCTACAGCACTAGCTGTCCTGGCACTTGCAACATAGACTAGCCTGGCCTGCAGCTCAGAGAGATCCACCTGCTGTCTGCCTCCCACATGCTGGGGTTAAAGGTGTGCGTCATCATGCCTGTTTCTGTTTAAGCCTTATTATTTTTTATGGCGATTTTAATGGCTATTCTTTAAGTCCTTGTCTGAATATATGCCTGTGCACTATGTGCATGGAGTGACCACAGATGCTAGAAGAGGGGATCAGATTCCCTGGGAGTGGAATTACAGACTATTTTGAGTGCTGGGAACTGAACCTAGGTCCTCTGGAAGAACAGCCAGTGCTCCTAACTGCTGAACCATCTCTCCAGCCATGGTAGTATACACTCTTAACCTTCTGAACAATTTAGCCCCAGATTTTGGTCTTTCTGAGACAGGGTTTAGCTATATATGCAAGGCTGGCCTGGAACTCACAATCACTTGCTTGTTTTTCCGCAGTGCTGTGATTATGGGTGTACAACACCATATTTGGCTCCAACAGTATTTAGAAAACTTCACTGTGTGGGTTATACAGAATCCCTGAACCACCTGACTCCTTAAAGTACCATCCTCCTCTTAGAACACTGGGATTCTGCATTAGTTCATTACAAAAAAATTTAACTAGACAGAACTTTTTTCTTAATGGTACAAAGAAAATATTACTGATAAATAGGATCTTTTTAAGCTTTATGTTCATGAATAAAAATTTTTTTTAAGTTATCCCATAGACTGTATATGAGAAAAAAGTATACAATGATATTACACCTTTCTTTTACTTTGTAATGCTCCAAGTTTTTTGGTAGATAAAGTACTAACAAAAGTGAACTTACCATATGAGCCATGTACTCAGGCTAATGACAACACAATGGGCCTCTGCCCCAGAGTTCTTGAAGTGTCTCAAGGAATGCTGGCTTTCTGAGTTTTTACCGCATCCCTGAAGATGAACAGAATGCTATTCATATGATTCACACATAAATTTCTTTCAAATTGACCAAATCTTAAATTATTCTTAAGCACAGTTTGGACTTCAAGCAAGAGGGAACAGCTTCAAAGAGGAATACCGATTTTTACCGAATTCAATGATTTGCAGATAAATTACTGTCTGTCATGTGTTTACCTGTAATGAACACTGGTGACTGGTTAGCCTGTCATTTAGGAATGCATGCCTTCACTGTCCTGTATATTATATACTACGAGACACTGAGCACCCTCCCAGGCCACTGGTGTTTCCCAGTCCTCCACCCCAGCCTCACTGAGAATAGAAACAGGGCCAGCGCAGTCATTTCCCGCACAAGTTACATGGGAGGGAGAGTCCCGGAAAGCGTCACATACAATAAAAGAAAGACATATACTTTTCCTTCCTTAGGACTTTGGAAATTACTGCAACATAATGCCTGAAACATCTCCAGTCTATGAAGCTGGAGAGGACACAGTGAAACAAAACAAAAACACAAAACAAAATAAAGCTTTATTTTGAGGGGTTCCTTCTCTTAAATTAACTACTAGCTCTGAAGTACCTCGATTTCTGTATCTTAATTATTTTATTTATTTATTTACTTATTCATTTTTGGTTTTTTGAGACAGGGTTCTCCATGTAGCCCTGGCTCCCCTTTAACTCTCTCTGTAGACCACGTTGGCCTGGAACTCAGAGATCTGCCTGCCTCTGCCTCCCAAGTATAGGGATGTGTGTCACAACTTTTCATTTCGGAAAATTCCTGTATTAGGGTTGGTGAGACGGCTCAATGAATAAAGGTGCCTGCTGTCAATCTGACAACTTGAGTTTGATCCCTGAAACATACATTGGAGTAAACAGAGAACCAACTCCAGGAAGCTGTCCTGCTGTCCTCTGATATTCACAAATGTGTTGTAGCAAGCACATACACAAAGTAAAATAAAAGCGAGGGGGATGGTGGTTAAAAAAGAATCTAAAAGGTTAGATCCATTTCCTAAATTAAAAAAAAAAAAAAAAAAAAAAGACAAAATCAGATCCAGATAAGAGACCAAGTGCCTTAGGTTCCCTTTCAAAGCATTTATGAGCCACAGATGGTTACTTTCTTAACAGAGTATATAGTTATTCAATCCTAAACACTCCTGAAGTCCACCTTGGAGTGGTGATTGAAAGGTGAAATGAATCTACCTCTCCCACCAGTAGTCCAACGCATAATAGGCATTTAAAGGATAATAGAAGACGTACATAGAAATAACCCCTTTCTTACCTGAAAGCCACACTTGAGGCACAACCAAACATCGGAAGGAAGTACTGGCTGTCCATCACAGAATCTTCTCTCTTTCAAACACTCGGAACAAACGGACCACAGAGTCTCAGCCACTGCCTTCTTCACATGATTCACGCTGACAGCATAGCTGATGTGTGGGCACGTTAACCCTACTGAATACGGGGCAACATGAAAAGATCTGCCTTGCAGAGTGAAAGCACTACTGTTAGCAAGTGTGCTGGTTGGTTCATCAGTTTGGCCTAAGCTGGAGCCATCTGACAAGACGGAACCTCAATGGTGAAACTGCCTCCATCAGAATGGACTGTAGGCAACTGTGTAGGCATTTTCTTGGCTAATGACTGATATAAGAGGGCAGTGCCATCTCTGGGCAGGTGGTCCTGGGTTGTGTAAGAAAGCAAGTCATAGGTGCAAGCCAGTAAATGCAGTGTTCCTCCATGGCCTGTCTCTCTGTCTAGCCCTGATTTTCTTCATGACAAACTATAAACCAAAAGCTGAAATAAGCCCTCGCAAGTTGATTTTCGTTGTAGTGTTTATCACAGCAAAGAAAGCAAACCAGGACAGTAAGGAAAAGCATATATCATTATAACGAGAACAACTAAAAAGCACAAAGTCAAAAACAAAGACACTCATAAGGACATACAGTTATACGAATGAACATACATAACATTCTTGAAATAATCACAGAAGAGATTAGTGGTTGCAAGGAGCTATGGGTGAGGACAGAGGTATAGATATACCTAAGCAACATAAAAGATGGTCACAGGCATGGTTCGCTGAAGTATACAAAACTACAAGCATAATAAAATTGCAAACGCAAACACACACACACCAACACATACAAGTGCATGTGATTCTGGTGACATCTAAATAAGCTAAGGTTGGTTCTGTCAGTTTTGATACTGTGTAAGAGCGATGCAGGATGTTAACATCAGGAAAGGACATATGAGACCTCTATGTTATCTAAAATTAGTTCAAAATAAGAACTAGATTTAAGAATAATATATACTCAGCCAGGGTTAGTGGTGCACTCCTTTAAGCCCAGCACTCAGGAGGCAGAGGCAGGAGGATCTCAGTGAATTCCAAGCCAGCCTGCTCTACACAGTGAGTTCCAGGATAGCCAAGGATACACAGTGAGACTGTCTGGAAAACAAACAAAAAAGATTACTCTTTTCTGAACAGCTATCACGTATCCTGCACTTTGAATGTCTTTTTTTTTTTTTTAATTAAACAGTTCCTGCTCTTCCAGAGGACTAAGTTTGGTTCCCAGCACCCACACCAGGAAGCTCACAACATCCAGTTCTAAGAGACCCAATGGTTCCTTCTGGTCTCACAGGCATCCATACACACACGACATTCATTGACACGGACAAATACATATATTCCCAGTACTGCAAGAGATACCAGGAAAACACATATTTAGACTAGGAATGTAGCTCAGAGGGAGTTGGTGCTTAGCATACACCAGGCCCTGGGCTCATTTGCTAGTACCAATAAGTAAGTAAAATAAAAAGATGCATAAAATCTTTTGTATACAATAGTTTTGCTATATAGCTATTTTCATCATTGTTAGGATAAAGAAAAACAAATGGTGGCTTAATTTATAGGAACTGGAACTTTCAGAATTATTTTTGGTTGGTTGGTTGGTTGGTTGGTTGGTTGGTTGGTTGGTTGGTTGGTTGGTTGGTTTCTCAAGACAAGGTTTCTCTGTGTAGCCTTGGCTGTCCTGCACTTACTTTGTGGACTAGGCTAGCCTTGAACTCACAGAGATCTACCTGCCTCTGCCTCCCTGAGTACTGGGATTACAGGAATGTGCCACAGCAGCCGGCTTCAGAATTCTTAATGAATATTCTCACATGACAAATTTTTTGCCTGGTCCCTAAATATCTTTTTTAACAATTTCCATCGTATGTGGTGAAAAATGACTAAAACTAAGCACATATACAAAGTCTTCAAATAATTATATTCTTCTCCTAAGGGCTCAGTTAATCCATTAGTTCCAAAAACGTGGACACTTTAATTTCTCTCCATCAGATATCCACATCAAAACTACAACTACAAACCCACAACCATCTACTAATTGACTAAAGAAGTTAGTTAGACAGCTACACACTGACTATTTCAGACACAAATATCATTCCTCACTAGGTATTTACAATGAAATATGTAAGGCATTAAAATTCCCAGTTTTACATAAGAGCAAACCATAAAAACAGACTTGAAAGGACTAATTCTGAGAGCCCAGGGCTACAGCCCAGAATTCTCAGAATTGTGAAAGCATGCCAAGCATGCACAGGGTCCTGGGTTTAATCCTCAGGACCCATAACCAGGTACAGTGGCACAAGCCTATACTCCAAGCACTCAGGAAGTGGAAGCACGCGAATCAGAAGTTCCACTTATCCTCACCTACACAGGGAGTTTGCCAGGGAGAGACCATGGCTCAAAAAATAAATAAATAAATAAATAAATAAATAAATAAATAAATAAATAAAAAAATAAATAAATAATAAAATAAAATAAAAAATAAAAAATCAACATCAACAAAGCCAAAGAGTAATTCTGATGTAAATTTGAATAGCAAGGAGCAGTGACATTAAGGAAAGGGACAGTCTGGGAAAGCTGATGAGTGACCAGCCAGTCCAGAGCAACAGATTACAAAATGGCATTACTTTGTACGGATTTCATAACTAAAAATTCTAAAGTGAAGCATCATTCTATGCTATATATCTTCTCCATGACCTTGGGATGAGTTATGAAGGACAATGTGAACATTTCGATGCTACCACTCAGACTTCTGAAACCGAAATCACTGATAACCTTAAAAATAGGTGTATGGATTCAAGATAACATATATTTTATGTTACTAAGTAAATTTCCTTCAGGTTTTCTGTAAATTATATATTATGTAAATTTCATATGATAAGGTTATATGGATATTCCTGAATACAAAATTGTTACAGTCCATAGTTTCTATTAGGTAATTAAAAACCAGTAATATAACTCTGGCTGGCCTCAAACTCAGAGATGTGCCTGTGTTTGCTTCCTGAATGTTGGGATTAAGGGCATATACTACTATATTCAGCCTAGTGTGCTATATTTTAAATACTAATAAAACTCCACATGAGTTTGTAATTGCTGATACAGAGCCAACACGTCCCTTCTGTCCTCCAAATGACAAGAACAGAAAACAAGGATTCCACATTTATTTTTAAGACACACAGCTTACTAGCTGCAGTGACGCACACCTATAAACCCAGTGCCCAGGAGGCAGAGGCAGGTAGAGCTCCTGAAATCAAGGCAGCCTGGTCTACACACTGAGTTCTAGGCCAGCAAAGGCTACATATTGAGACTGACTCAGAAAGAGAGACAGAGACAGAGCATGTTCTGTGGGCTGGGCATGTGGCTCAGTGGCAGAGCACTCAGTTAACACAAGCAAAGCCCTGGGGAACTAGGACTGTAGGGCTATTTCTACCCCATCAATACAGAAATGAAAGAAGGAAAAGAAGAAGAAGGGGGAAAAAGAAAGTGGGGAGTGGGGAGGGGAGGCCAAGCAAATCCTACAGTTAGCAAACGAAAAGGTTCACCATCTGTCCCTCTCTGGTGCCTTAGAGACTTAATTTTAATGAGCCATGAGAAAAGAGAAAGAACAATATGACAACTTTAATATACCTAGAACTTAAACAATATCCCAATAAGAACACCAACAATGGTTTTAGCAGGGAACTACACAAGCTAGTTCTAAGACTTATCCAGAAAATGGTGGAAATAAAGTACTGAATTTATTGACTGAAAAGCACCTGCTGTCACTTCCTTCACCCACTATTCTTTGAGATGGCAGATATCACAATTTACCAGCAATGTCGTCTGAAGAATCTTCATCATGAGGTAGTAATGGTCTCTTATTTCGTTTGCCTTTCTCAGGGAAATCTTTTGATGGATCTTTTACCCGCATCTGTTATTTACTGAAAAGTTTCAAGAAAAATAACAATACTTTAATCTTCAAAGTTAAGCTATATTTAATGCATTTGCAAACTAGACTGGTCAAATGAATCAGCTGAAATAAACCATAAAATCAATATACAACACAGAGAGTAGAGCTCAGTGGTAGCGCATGCAGGAGAGTCTGGTACAGGCTCTCACAGAAATAAAGTCAATCCTCAAATGGCACCGTTCGGCTCCTCTGTTACACACTGTTTTTACCCCCCTATGGTCTCAAAATCCCTATGCTGAAGTCACCCACAAAGGGATGGCATGTGAACATGAGCTGGAAAGAGTAGGTGAGAGAGCAAGCCTTGCGTATATGGAGGTAACAAGCAGAGGGCCAGGACAAATAGTCTTTTTGAGTTGGGGTCTACTTCCCCTTTGCTTGTAGAAAGGTAGACCAGGCTTGCCAGCACTCTTTGCCAGCCTCCAGCGCCTGACGTTTGCCCTCCAGCTGCTCTGTGTACAATGACTTTTATTATTATTGCCTTGCGTGCCCTCTGCATGCGTGACGTCTCAGAAATAAAGTTTTCATTAAGGAAATGAGTACCATTTGTTAGAATGGGCCCTTTCCTCACCCTGTCATCTGTGCAGACAGTGGCAGCTGGGAGACGCACACTGGGCCAGGCAAAGGGTAAACCTAGTAGTCAGGTTTAACGGCTTTACTACCAGATGGAGTACAGACAGGGAATTTATTTCCTACTTTTAAGCTACCATAATTTCTCCTAAATTTTTGTTATGAAAATTTTTTAAGCCTTCAAAGGTTAGCCGGGCGTAGTGCCGCACACCTGTAATCCCAGCACTCGGGAAGGCAGAGGCAGGCGGATCTCTGTTTGTCGTCAGCCTGTCTAAAGCGAGTCCAAAACAGCCAAGGCAACAGAGAAACGCTGTCTTGAAAAACAAAACAAAACAAAACACAAATCTACAACGGTCACAAGAACCGGCCACTGAATGCTCACACACCATCTAGATTACACATGTACAGACACATGTACAGTTGTGTACATCTACCGTACAAAACACATGTGTACATGTACCATGCTTGACCTTTAATCCAAATATCAGCATGGAAACATGCATTCTGGGAAGCATATCTCGGTGGGTGGAGTCAAGCAAGGTTTCTCTGTGTAGTCCTGACTGTTCTAGAACTTACCATGTAGACCAGGCTGGCCCTTGCCTGCCTGCAGAGTGCTGAGATTAAAAGCATGCGCCACCATGCCCGGGTCGGAACACAGTATCTTAACAATGTTAACGCCTGTGTATGTCTGCGGGTATGTGCATGTTAATGCTTGTGCTCAGGGAGGACAGACAGGGAGGACGCCAGCTCCCGCGCTTGTGTGCTGCCTGCTGTGGCTGTCGGGGCCAAGCTCTGGCCTTCCTCAAGAACAGTGTGTACTCTCAGTTACCGCAGCACCCCTCACCCAGTGTCTAGGAAACACAATGAGTAGTTGTCCTATATAGCATCACTAAGAAAGGTATTCCCTGACAGCTTTTATCTAACATAGTCTGACTTCCTTATCTGATTCACCTGTACTCTATAGGGGTTTTTGTTTTTGTTTTGTTTTTCTGGATGGAAAGTCAGTCATTATTTGGACTGTATCTGTCGCAGCTCTTCACTCTTTTTTAACACTGGTTTCTCCTATGATCTTTTTTTAAAACTATGTGTACAGGGAGGGGATATGCAGATGTTCTTGCTAACACAGCAAATGCTTCAATTCCTACAGAAGAATGGGGAATGGGAAAAGATTCAATACAGAGCTGGTTCTTAAAGCTTCACTTGGAAGCTCATACTGGCTGGCTAAAGAAATTTGTGGGGTCACATTTAACTTTAGGTAAGTAAACACTACATCACCCATACAGCAGAAGCCAATTCTAGACGAACCCCCGTTGTCATTTTCTCAGGTATTCAGAAGTCTTGTAAGACTGGGACTACCCTTATCCACCCCACTTCTCTCTGGCCAACTTCTGGGCACTTTACTAAGCCATTTCAACCCCTTTTCAACCTTAACCTCCACCTCTCCTTCCTTCCCACCATGAGGTGGCCTCTAAACTTACAAACCTGCATCCATTAACTTTAAGTTCTGGCTAGAGAGAGGCATTAACAGAACCTAAGAAAGATAGCTCATGAGAAACGAGCATATCTCACCCTGTAACAGATAAACCCTTGATAAAGATGAAGATTTCTGTACAGATAATGACAAGTGGAAGAAAACTCACAGCCAGGTGTTTGACAGGCTTTTGTAAACAACCTGTTACCTTTTTCAAAACCACTGTCTCAAACTTATCTTGGTAATGGAGGGGGAATTTTTAATCATCTTTTTAACAGATGTAATGTTACACCAACCCATAATTCCTTAACTCCATGTAACTTTATTTTCTAACTTCCACTTAAGGCAAAACAAACAAGCAAAAGACATTAACATCCAAGTATTAGACGTTCAGATACTTTTCATATCAAAATTGTGTCTGGAAATCTCCAAGGCTCTGCTGGCCCTGAGCAGTGAACAGGACCGCTCACATGGTTGCACACTTCACAGAGCATTTGTATGAACACACAACCTGGTTAGAATGGAAAGGGGCATTTTTCCATGATTTTCACAAGCTCTCTCCCTGTGGGCGGGCACACACTCTCCTCAAGAGGAACCAGCAGCAACATCAATCTGAGCTCAGGGGAACTCATGAGACACTTGGAGTCCGGCGATTTTATGTAACTGGTAATTTTGGCATAAAAATATAATGTTGGGTATAGAACAATTACAGCTACATCAGGACACTCCCAAACTCTCTAAGTTTCCAGATGCCAAACAAGGGCCGAGGTTGCAGGCAGAGCCATCAAAGGACAGAAGTCTCAGGCCTGATTTGTTAACTCTTCACCACAGATACATTCCTTTTTTTTTTTTTTTTTCGTGAGGTCTTCCAAACATCAAACTTTACAGCTTTTTTTTTAATTCTACTTAATTATGTATTTTCTGTATATGGCTGTGCACGTGTTTAAGTGTTTCGCTTTGCATTCACGAGGTCAAAGCAGCTTCTCCCTTCCACCGCGTGGGTCGAGGAGGCTGAAATCAGGCTTGGTCAACTTGCTGAGACATCAACTTCAGTTTTTAATTTAAACATTATCTAACTCCTGCATTGTCTCTAATGTACAGGATGTACAGCTAACTCATTTAATATTATGCTTTTCAACTGGCTACAAGCATCCCATGTCCAAAAGTGTTTTGTTTAAGTTTTGGGCTGCAATTCTCCAGAAAAGGAAATGCAAAGGGCTTCCTTTTGGACACCTGGTGCTGAAAACACTCCATTCTAAGAACCTTCTCACAAGCACTTTGAGATGCGTCACTATCACCATCCTCCTTTTACTCTTGGAACTGGGCAGGGGTGAAGTGACTTGCAGAAGTCAGGGAGCTAGAGGGGGAATTAGTAGGGTCGACCCCTGACCTAACACTCACTGTTGCCAGAAAGCCGTGGCTAGGCTCTCCTCCTCGGGCCTGATGCACCCCACGTCAGCAGAGCGGGATGTGCTGCGAGGAGAGGCGAGGGGACCGGCGGCGGCTGCACGCCCGGGTCCCCGAGACGTGCGGGCTCGGCCCGGCTCCCTCCCAGACCCCGGCTCCTCCCGCTGCGGCCAGGGCTCGGCCCAGGAGGCCGCCCGGCGCCCTGTGAAGGGACCTGAGGGACGCGGGAAACTTTTCCTCCTAGGCTGGTTCACCTAGGAGGAGGCCTCGCGGCCCGAGCGACGACACAACGAAGACACGGGGTTTCCAGTGACCCCAAACGCTGGGCCCCAACTCACCCCGCCCGCCGGGCCGCGGCTGCCACACGCAGAAGCTTCTGCGCCTGCGCAGCGGGCCGCCCAGGGAAGGCGGGGTCCGGCGTGCTGGGCGGAGCCGGGGCGGGGTCTGCGCTCTGGGTGGGGCCGGGGGCGGGGCTTCGGGCGGGGCGGGGCTCCGGGTTCTTCCTGTGCTCGGGAGATCGGAACCTGCTGGAGGGGTGTAATGTGGAAGGGCCCCCTGCGGCCGCAGGGCCTGGATTCAGGCTCTGGTGAGCTGCTTTGGTCCTTCCGGTCCAGGTCCCACATGCTGGGCGCCATTTGGGACGGACCCCATCACCCTTCTCCGAACCCTGAAATCACGTCTGACATTCACTCTGTGTGATTTTAGGGTTTTTCGGGTTTTCTTCATGTGGTTCTCACTTCTGAGCTAACTGGTACATCACACCCGTCATTCTTCAGAGTCTGATCGTCTGTTCCAGCGATGTACACCTTGCTTTTGGTTGATGGACCCTAGAAGTCTCAATCTATCACAAAGTACAAGTTGTGACCTAGTGGATAGAGCGCTGGGTTAGAAGTTAAAAGTCTGACTTTTTTTTTTTAACCTTAAAAAATCGAATTATTTCCCATGGGAAACTTGGCAAAGAAGCAAGTTATTCGTTTACATGGTTTTTTTAATTAATTAATTTTATTAATTACAGTGTATTCACTTTTTATCCCATCTGTAGCCCCCTCCCTCGTCCCCTCTCAATCCCATCCCTCCTCCCTCTTCTCCTCCCATGCCCCTCTCCCAGTCCACTGATGGGGAGGTCCTCTTCCCCTTCCATCTGACCCTAGCTTATCAGGTCTCCTCAGGACTGGCTGCATCCTTACACTGTTTATAAGAACCATGCATTGGACAAATTCAGAAGATATAAATACACTGATCGAGATGCTAGGTGTTCGTATAGATAATTGTCTTTTAGGGGGTCATTTTTCCTCCCAGGAAGAAAAGAAAATGTTGCATCAGTAAAAGCAGTTTGTGTTGTAATTTCAATGTCAAAATTGTCTGTGTAAATATAAAGTATAATGTTAATATTGAATTTAAAATAGAATATGAAAAAGATATGCAAAAAAGAAAATCTAAAATATTTGCATCCTAAATTGCAACAGGAATAGGTCTTTTTTGAAGTATAGTGTAAGATTCAATTTACGGTTAGAGGAAAAAAGGCTGACTTTTTTGTTTGTTTGTTTGTTTTTAGTGTAGCATTGGCTGTCCTAGAACTAACTATGTAGACCAGGCTGGCCTTGCACTCACACAGATCTGCCCTCATCTGCCTCTGAAGTGTTGGGATTAAAGGTATGTGCCATCATTGCTGGACTTTAGACTTTCTTCTTAACAAAAAGAAATTTAAGAATTCTGCAATTAATCCTCAATATTTAAATATCTCTTAGAATTGACAAAGTCCTGTGGCTACCTTGGTATCTAACAGATATATCCTTAGTCTAATCAAAATCTCTAGGGACTGCACTTCTCATTCAAAGCTAGCATGGCTATTTGTAGAAAAATGGATGGAACTAGAGATCATGTTAAGTATCAGACAAAAAAAAGACAAATATTGCATGTTCTCATTTCATTTCTGTTACCGTGATAAGAAACAAAAATACCCCAACAACAAGCAGCTCAGGAGAAAAGAAGTCCATTGTGTTGGGCAGTCAAGGCAGCAGGAACTCCAGCACCTAGAAATATCGTACTGTAAAAAATATCAGACATAAGTCTTTTGTATGACATACTATAAAACTTGTGTTTAGGACAAGGAATTAAGATCGTTTTACCCTCAAAAGACTTTGTTTACATGTTTAATCCACCCTGGAGAAACCTTTGCTCACACAAAGGTACACTTCTGTATTCCAGGAGTTTGACTCCATTCTCCTGCATTTCCTGTTCACAGTTCTTTTCAGGTTAGCCACCCTGGGAGACGGGACCCCAATCAACAAAGACACAGTCACCACCTGAATCTGAATAAAAACCACGTTCACTTGTTCACTTCCTGTCTGAGGTTGATTTTCTGAGCACATCTTTCTTTCTCAAGAATAAAGTCTGCTTTGTTGGAAGTGGTAGTCCCTTTCCTTGCAATCCTCAACTCCTTGCTGACACACAGTCACGAGCAGAGAGAAGTGAGCATGTGGATGCCCAATTGCTTGAGCACAGCTTGATTTTGCCACTTTTCAGGAGTGCAATACTGGGGCTGGAGAGACGGCTCAGCAGGTAGGAGCATTGTCTGCTCTCCCAGGGGTCCTGAGTCCGCTTCCCAGGAACCTCCCGGTGGCTCACAAGCATCTCCTACTAGGATCTGGCGCCCTCTTCTGGCATGCAGGTGTACATGCCAATAGGATACTCATCTCTGTAAAATAAGTAAGTGTATTCTTTATTTTTATGTGTGTGTGTGAGAATGTGAGCCAACTGTGTATGTGTATGCCTGCAAAGTCAGGAAACAGCACTGAGTACCAACATAGGTACTAGGAACTGAACTCTAGTTCTTCTCCCTCCCTTCCTCCCACTCATTTCTTCAAACAGTTCAGGGCCGCCTATCTAGGGACTGGTGCTACTCACAGTGGTCTGGTCTTCCAACATCAATTAACTTGATTAAGGTAATCCTCCAAAGACATACCTATTGACCAACCCAATGTTAACAATTCAACCCTGAGGCTTTTCCTAGATGACTGTAGGTTGCATTAAGTTGACAATTAAAGCTATCTGCCACACACTTTCTCTCTTTTGGGGAATCTCACACACACATTATATATTAATGTATTATTTTATTATTATTGTTGTTGTTGTTGTTTGTTGTTGTTACAGAGGGCTTGAAGACGGCCTAGCAGGTAACAAAGGGTCCCTGCCACTAAGCATGACAACCTGAGCTTAATCTTCAGAACCTACAGAAAAAGTCTAAGGTGATAACTGACTCTGCAGACTTGTCTTTGACCTCCAACGCTCATGTGGCACGTATGTGCTCCCCTCATCACACGCCACACACACACACACACACACACACACACACACAAAACACAGCAAAATTTTAAAAATTAAAGTCTAAATGGTTAGGGAAAACCTAGTAGTAGATAATGCCATTGGCATAGAAATCTGAGGTGGCTTATTAATTATTGAATTATTGGCTCTAGGGAGATGGTTCCGTTGGTGAAGTGCTTGGTGCGTGAGCATAAGCACTTGAGTTCAGAATTCCTGAACCATCCAGGAAGCAGGACATGCCTGAAACTCCAGTGCTGAGGAGGAACTGGGTGAGAGTGCAAAGCCGGGCTGACCCCTGAGGCTCGGTGGCCAGCCAGCCTATCTGACGCGCTCGTCTGTTTGTTAAGTGATTCTGAGTTTATTCGTTCATGTGAGTATTTTGTTTTCATGTGTGCCTGTGCATGGCGTGCTTGCTTGGGACCCTCAGGGGTCAGAAGAGGCGCTGGATCTCCTGGAACTGACACTACAGACCGCTTTGAACCATCACATAAATGTTGGAGACTGGACCTAAGCACTCTGCTAGGGTAGGGAGTACCCTGCCACAGAGCCATCTCTCCACTGATTTGCCATCTTCAGGTTCAGTGAGAGACCTTGCCTCAAAACATGAAGGTGGCATGATCGAGGGAAAGACACCCAGGATCAGCCTCGTCCTCCACAGACACATATGTACCCCGCTAACAAGTACATACAACACACAAACAACACTACCCACACACCCAACATACAATAAAAAATACTGAATTATTAAAACAGGCTGACTTCAAAGTGTATATTTGATGGAATTTTTCCTTGGACATACATTTTAATATCAGTTTGGCTTAGTATGTTACTTCTTAACTGAATAAATTTCGGTGCAAAGCAGCTTTTATCATGTTTGGGGAACTGAACTGAGGAGAAAGTTAAGGTAATGAGAAGGCTTATGGGGGAGGGATGAGATCCAGTACACTAACTCCAAATACACCCCTAGTTCTAATCCTTGAAACCGGTAGTGTGCTTGCTACCTTACCCGTTATCTTAGTGTTGTACCCCTGGGAAGACACACCATGGCCACGACAGCTCTTACTTTAGATTTATTTTTATGTACACTTTGACATACATATATGTCTGCTTGAGGGAGTCGGACCCGCCGGAATTTGAGTTACACACCAGACGGTTGTGAGCTGCCGTGTGGGTGCTGGGAATTGAACCAGGGTCCTCGGGAAGAGCAGCCAATGCTCTTAACTGCTGAGCCATCTCTCCAGCCCGACCACGACAACTGTTACGAAGGAAACCTTTTAATTGAGGCTGACTCACGGTTTCAGAGATTGAGTCCGTCATTGTGACAGGAAGCACGGCGGCACACAGACGGACGTGGGGCCGAGAGTTCTACCTCAGACCTGGAGGCAGAGAGGGAGAGAGGTTGGGGGTGGGGGGTGGGTCTGACTTACACATTTTCCCCAGCAAGGCCACACCTACTCCAACTAAGCCGCACCCTCCTGATTCTGCTCGCTGAGTACTCAGATTCTAGGAGCCTGTGGGGGCCATTCTTATGCACACCACCACGCCTGGTGAAAGGGCTTTGAAGATATTCTCACAGATAGAATATCTGGAGGTGGGGAGGCCGATTTGGATTATCTCAGCCGTCTGAACGTAGAGGTCCTCAGAGGAGGACGAGAGGGGAGGCGGATGAAAGGACTTACAGCAGATCCCAGGGTGGGCCAAAGAGATTCGAAGAGGCGAAGACGCTGGCTTTGAAGTCAGATGAAGGCCAAGCAAGAGCCAAGGCCTGAGGCTGCACGAGCAGAGACGAAAGGCAAGTAAAAACGAAATAAAGTAAGATCTTCCCAGAAAGTGTTCAAAAATCACCCATCTTTTTGGACACATTGATTTTAGTCAAGTGTGATAACTTCAAAATGGTAAATAATTTCTGTTGTTTTAATCCAGTAACTGTGTGGTCGTTTGTTAAGGGAGCAACGGGAAGTCAACCCTGCCAGAAACATGTCAAATAAAGTGGAATATTTACTGTCCCGCAGTAACGGGTTCTGCCGGAGCTGGCTGCGGGGCGCTCAAGAGCCTGAGCCGCGCCGGCGGCGAGACGCCGGGAAGGAGCGGAGGAGGAGGAAGTGGTGGTCCCGGGTCCGGGCGCGGAGATGCCGGCGGGGCTGCTGCTTGGGACGGCGCGCAGGGCGGCCCTGGGCCCGCTGGAGCCCGCGCTGGGCGGTGAGTTGTCCCGGGAGAGGGGAAGGCCGACTGCCGGGGAGGGTGACCTTGGCTGCGCGCTCCTCATCCGAAGAAGGGAAGCCTGTCAGGACGGCCCGTGGGTGAGGCGCCCACCGGCCGGCTCTGCTCCTCTGGACCCTCCGCGTCCCAGGCCGTCGTGCACCAGAGTCGCAGGTGCACGCAGCGGCAGCGCGAACAGGCACCGGGGTTGTCTATAGCGGGGCTGGGCTGTGCGGTTTGAGTGCTGAAGGTCACCCGCACAGAAAGGGGCCTTCTCCCCGAGAGGCTTACGTACCAACCTACGCTTTCAGCTTGCTATTTGCACCCACCGGGGACAGAGCTCCTGGCTTCGCGAAGCAGACACACCTACAGCCCACCCCTCCCGGTCAGAACTCGGGAAGTACTCCCCACCCCCGACTGAGTTTGCAAATTCCGAAGCAAAAAGCAGAAGAGTGAGCTATTGACCTGCCTGGGTCTAAAGCTCAATCCAGGGCTTCCGTATCTTCAGGACACCAACTCCACCCTCCATTCATTCACTCACTCACTCACTCACTCACTCACTCACTCACTCACTCATTTATTCATTTATCAATTCTGTTTCTTCTTTCCCTTCTATTTTCTTTCAAAGAAGCGGCTGCAGGCACCCAGCAAACTAGTCTCCCTTGCTCCTTTCTGGACACCTTTTGTCACCTAAGATGGGCTTCTCTGTGCAAACTGTTTTCTTGCACCTCTCTGTAGCAATTATTTATTACACGAACAATCTGCCAGACCTGCTGCAGGGCACACAGCTCCTGCGGCTCAGGAGCTCACCATTTGCGTGTGGGTGGGTGAGCGGGAGACAGGTAAAGCACACGGCCCCTTCCAGTGGAAAAGCCTCGGGTCTTGAATTGAACTCAATGCTAGAGGAAGGTGCCTTTGTGTATCTTAAAAGTCACACAAACAGTACTTGGTTATATTCTCACTGATGTTAAAAAAAAAAAAAAGCACAGCTGCAGACCTCCTTTAAGCATTTCATCCACTCCTCACAGACACAGATTGTAAAGACTCTTTTAGACTTCCCGTGGTTATCCATAAATAAGTCCTTATTACATGTGGGCATTATGTATATACTCCTATATTTTGACTCACGTGTATTTAGCTTTAAAATTGCATAGTGGGGCTGTGTAGTTGAAGCAGATCTGAGTTCAAGGCCAGCCTGGTATAGAGCAAGTTTCAGGTAAAGAAAAGCTTAGATCCAGGCGTGGTGGCTCAGGCCTCTAATCCCAAACAGTGAAGGTAAAGTTAGTTTGTGGAAGGAAGCACCCATGTTCCAAAGCAATGTCTAATTGAGGGGCAGAAAAGGTGACAAATCAGAGGTAGATTTGACTGAATAGGATAGGCCCAACTCTCAGGAGAAGAAAAAGGAAAGGGAAGCTACGAAAAGGGCAATGCAGAAAGAAAGAAAGGAGACAGTATTAGAGAGACAGGTTGCAGAGAGAGAACGTTAGACACAGGTAAAGACAGAACGAGCCAGAGAATGAGAAGGAGCCAGAAGATTAAAGATTGCTGGAGTTAGTTTGAGGACAAGCAGAGCAATTCAGAGGCCAAGAGAAAAGCCAGATTGAATAAGTTAGCTGGGAGAGGAGTGTGAGCCAAAACAGCTGAGTTGAACCAGCCAGCTCTGAGCTCAGAAAGAACAAGAAAGGGTGAGCTTATTCAGCAATAAGTCTCGGAGGCTGAAAACATTCTAGGCCTAGGTTAGATTGTATGGAAGCTAGAAGCTTCCAGGAGTAGGCCTAGGTCAGCAGACGGAGGTAGTAAGCTTCTAAAATGACAATAGAACCAGTCAAATAAAGGTTCCTTTTGCAGGGATGTATCACAGTTTGCTAACCACTCACTTATAGAAAATTTTAGTTCCAGGTTTTTATTATAAAATTACTTGATAATCATTGTGTAATCTACCCTGTGCACATAAACAACTATTTTAATAGAATGAATACCTAGAAATAGAATTGTTAAAGGGAAGTGGCAAGCAGTATTAAATAGATATGAGAGTAAGTGTCCCGTGTATAAATGAACAGATAGCTATTTCTCACAGAAGGAGCAGTATGATATAATTCATGAAAATAGGAATAATTACTGATTTTACTGTGTAGACATTAATTTTATTTAAACTTAAAGGCATGCATTCTTCAGTTTTCTCTATAACATAATACCCGACAAAAGCAGTTTTCAGAAATCGTTTATTTTTGGCTCAAGCCTTGAGAATGATTACATATATATCTATTCTCCAAAACTTAGCCAATTTTTCCCTTCAGTGTAAGAACTGATTAATGTTTCTTTAACCACTAGACCAATGGTCAATTTACAAGCAGGCTGTGGCGTACAGAAACAAGCTGTAGCTTGATGCAGATAAGTAGTGTGCAGGGTAGACTCATGCCGTTGAGAGACCTGGGGACGGTGAGACTCAAGGAAAATACACGGTTGCTTCGGACTTTAACCACTGAGCGGGAAGGCAAGAGAACCCATCGGCTTCACATACTACCTCACAAGTGCGTCTAGCTGAATTCTAGAAAGTTAGAAGTCAGTTTGATGACAGAGAAAATAAATTATCTTTGATCCAGTTTCAAGAGTTGCTTGTGGCCGGGCTCAGTGGTGCATGCTTATAATCCCAGCACCCTGGGAGGGAGAGGCAGATGCAAACTCTGTGAGTTCAAGGCCAGCCTGGTCTACAAAGCCAGTCCAGGACAGCCAAGGCTACACAGAAAAACTTTGGGGGAAGCAAAAAAACAAAAGAGTTGCTTGTTGTGGGTACATTTTCAGTGTTGGTAAATAGTGCTAGAATCAAGCTTAACATAATTTATGAAATTACAGTTTTCCAGTTTCTTACGATGCCACATTAAAAGTGTGAATTCAGCCTGCTGTCTCCAATTTGAATATGCTGATTCCAAATTTTAAAGTAATTAATCCTGAGGGCTGGAGAGCTGCTCAGTGGTTAGGAGCTCATACTGCTGCTGCAGAAATCCTGGGTTTAGTTCCCAGCATGCAGCAGCTCTCAACCACAGGTAATTTCAGCTCCAGTGGATGTGAGGGCACCAGTTGAGACCTCCACACATGTACTCACAAATGCATGGAAAGATAAACTTTGGACTGGAGAGAGGGCTCAGTGGTTAAGAGCACCTGTTGTTCTTCCAGAGGACCTGGGCTCAGCTCCCATCACCAGTGTCAGGAAGCTCACAGCTGCTTCTCACTGGAGCTCCAGCAAATACATACATGTGGCCTCTGCACACATGTTAGACACATACATGAGAAGAAAACCTTAAAAGTTAAAAAAAATACCTTTTAAAAAAATGTCATCATGGGGCTGACAAGATGGCTTAGAGGGTAACGTGCTTGCCATCCAAGCCTGACAGCTAAGTTGGATCTCTGAAATCCATGGAAAGGAGGGAGGGGAGAGCTGGCTCTGCAAAGTGTCCTCTTGCCCCCACACGTTCTCCCATAGGACAGATTTCTAAAAGTGAAGCCATCAGGCAGGAAGAACGTGCATGATCAAAAAACGTTACCACTAATTCTCTCCAAAAGCTCCATTTAAAACTTTAATCCCAGCACTTGGGAGGCAGATCTCTGTGAGTTTGAGGCCAGCCCTGACCTACCCAGTGAATTCCAGAACAGCTGGGGATATGTCGAATGACCTTGGAGAGAGAGAGAGAGAGAGAGAGAGAGAACAAACAACTAACAATTATGTTTAACTTCCCATTTATGTGTATAGGTATTCTGTACACATGTGTATCTCTCCTACATGCCTGGTGCCTGAAAAGGACAAAAGATGGTCCTGGATCTCCCAGAATTGAGTTATAGATTGTTGTGAGCCACCATCAAATCCTGGAAACAAACCCAGGTCCTCTGGAAGAGAAGTAAGTGCTCCTAACCACTGAGCCATCTCTCCAGCCCCCTCTAGGAGTTCTTAATGACAGTGTCTGAGAGAATCCATTTTCCCACACCTTCACCAACATTTGTCATTACCAGTATGTTTCAGCTTTACAGGCCAGACACAAGAGTTTTTTGAGACAGGGTTTCTCTGTGTAACCTTGACTGTCCTGGACTCGCTTTGCAGACCAAGCTGGCCTCGAACTCACAGAGATCCATCTGTCTCGGCCTTCTTGAGTGCTGGGATTATAGGCGTGTTCCACCAAGCCCGGCCAGTTTTAACTCTTATATTTCTTGTGTTTTGGTTTTGGTTTTGGTGTTTTTTGAGACAGGGTTTTTCTGTAGCCCTGGCTGTCCTGTCACTCACTCTGTAGGCCAGGTTGGCCTTGAACTCAGAGATCCATCTGCCTCCGCCTCCCTAGTGCTGGTATTAAAGTCTCTCTTTAATTGTAATGAGATTAGGCCACTTGTTGAATTTTATTTGCCATTTTTATTTTTTCTATCAATTTTCTGTTCATATATTTTCACCCCTTTTCTATGCTGGTATTCCTATGGGCTCTATTTTAGTAATACTACCTCTTATTTTCAGCTGCAAATGCCTTCTTGCTTGCCACTTGTAACCAAATTGTCCATTGTACATTTCTCATATAAACTTGACATCTGTTTAAGGACAAAGATTTTATGATTTTTGTCTCAAAATTGACATTATCTACACATCATCTTAGAATCTTTAAGACATTGGCTTTATGTTTAGAATTTGTTTAAGCGTAAGGAATCAAGAGCCTTCCAATCAGTCGACCCATAATTGCATTGCCGCCCTCTGCCCACTACCTTGAGACACCGCTGTCTGCAGGCTTCCTTTGGACTGGAGTCCAGTTGCACCATTTGGCATGGATGCCAAGAAACTTGTGTGCTCTTCTCAGTGCAACTCGAGAGAATGGCCAGTGAGCACACCGCTGGCCCTTGTCTCCACTAAAGAGAGGGAGGCCCGCCCACTGTAGGTGGGCCTCCTCTGGGCAGGTGATCCCGGGGTGATTAGAGGGCGGGTTGAGCAAGCCATGGAAAACTAGCCAATATGCAACAATTGTCGTGGTCTCTGCAGCAGGTCCTGCCTCAAGATTCCACTTGGGTGCTATAAAGTGAAACAAATCCTTTCTTCCCCAGAGATACAGGTTTCTGTCCTTATTTGCAAAGGGAAGTGAAGTTAAATTTTTCTTCATACTGTCATTTGAGTTAGAGTGCGATTAACAAGTTATGTATGTAACTCCATTGTCTCCAAGCTCTTGCTGACTAATGGGTGTTGGGGGATAGGGAGCTGGCAGAAGGCCAGCCTTCAAGCGTTCGGAGAGAGATGGCGGGCTGCATCCTGTTGTTCAGTCAGAATGTGTGCAGACTGGAAAACATTTTTCCAGGCTCTGCTCACAGCTTTTTAGGTAGGAGAGAGCTGAGGCAGGGCCTTACATATTATAGGCAAGCACTTCCCTACTGAGCTACCTCCCCATGCAAACAGCTTCTGACACTAAATGTAGGGTTTTCCCACACCAAGCTAATTCTCGAATTATTTGACTCTTAAATTTTAATTCTGAACAAAGTATCCAGAGTCAGTTACTGAAGACACCATAAGGGCTTTCCAACAAAACAGTCCCCACTTTAGACACCAAATTCAAGTCTAGGCTTCTCTTATTTTTGACCAATTGATTATAGATCAAAGATGTTCATGACTCCTTCCTCAGGTTCAGTCATTTGCTAACAGAATGAAGGTAGGCAGTTTTATCAGTTTATTTTAAATTATTTATTAAAGAACATAGATTAATAGCCTGCTAAAGTCATGGTATGCATTCTGGAGGAAACTTAAGTGCAGGTGTTCCCATCTTCCCGAAGTTAGGGTGTGCCATGTTCCCAGCTCACGAATGTGTTAACCCAGCAGACCTCTAGACTCCACAGATGAAAGATTTTAATGAATGTGCCATCATGTAAGCACTGTTGATTGCTAATTCAATCTTCTAGCCTCATTCCACTGCATGAAAGACCAGGTCTGAAAGTTCCAAGTTCTATTCATGGCTTGTTTTTTCTGGCAATCAGTGCCACCCTGAAGTTGTCTAGGTTACCAGAGTCAACCTCATTAAAACAAAGGAGTCATTGATCATGTCAGAAGTTCTATGTACTTACAAATCAGGAGCAGAGTATGTATCCAGAGTTTATTAAAGAGGTAAACTCAGTTATGTCATTTAACTACAACCTACTGATAGCTGTTAATACAATGTCAGTCCAAAGTTGTCTCAACTTTTATTTTCTTCAGGTTTGAAGGCAATATGGGGAAGCGGCCGGCATTTTTGTTCTACTCTTTCTAAGGATGTGACTTATAGGGAACTAAAAACCCTACTGAACTCCAAAGACATTGTATTAATTGATGTTAGAGATACATGGGAAATTCTTGAGCATGGAAAAATACCTGGATCAATCAACATACCATGTAGGTAATCTGTGTTTATACAGACTCATTTGCATGCTTAATAACTGATTATATCCAAAGCTTAACTGACTGCCTTAACATTTTCTTCCAGTGGATGAGGTAGGTGAAGCTCTACAGATGACTCCAAGGGACTTCAGAGAGAGGTACCATAAAGTGAAGCCATCCAAATCTGACAGTCTGGTGTTCTCTTGTTTAGCTGGAGTGAGGAGTAAGAAGGCCATGGACACAGCAATATCGCTGGGCTTTAGCAGGTGTGTGAATGAAGGGGAAACTAGACTGGACACTGTGTGTGTCGATGTTGTATAGACATTTGGGAGGCTGCGGCTACGCCTTGCTGGTGTAACTGCTTAATATGTGGAAAGCCCTGGATTCAATCTCCAGCATAGCAAAAATAAAAACCTCTTACTTTACTCGAGAATGTCTTGGGAGTGGGCAGGGCTGGAGAGACCGCTCAGTGGTTTAAGAGCATTGTCTATAGCTCATGGCTGGTGGCTCATGGCTGACTCTAACTCCAGCTCCAGAAGACCTGATGCCTTCTTCTGGCCTCCTTGGCCGCCATGTGCACATGCGGTATACAGACAAAAGCATCTATAAACACATGTAACAAAAATTCAAAAATTCAAGGCCAATTTGTACTACATTGAGAATTTGTCTTGGGGGGTAAAAAAGTTTTTTTTTTTTTTTTTTTTTTTGAGGCTGGTGATATATTTCAGTGGTAAACCATGTTTTTCTTGTGCCCAAGTCCCTGCCTGGATCTAAGCCTTACTACCATAGGGGCCAAAAACAAGAAAAATTACTGTTAATTAAGGCACTATAGCCAGGAAGTAATGGCACATGCCTTTAATCCCAGCACTCTGGAGGCAGAGGCAGGTGTATTTCTGTGACTTCAAGACTATCATGGTCTACAAAGTAAGTTTCAGGACAGCCAGGGCTACAGAGAGAAACCCTGCTTTGAAAAGACAAAATAAATAAATGAATAAATGAATGAATGAATGGATAAATAAATAAATAAATAAATAAATAAATAAATAAATAAACAAACAAACAAATAAATAAATAAATGCAAGTGGTATAGAGACCAATGTTGTTACAAAAGAACAAAAATCCTAACCATTTGATTTTTACCAAAGAAGACTCAGGAGCCAGATGCTGGGGTAAAAGCCAGCTGGTTCAGAGAGACAGAGAAATTGCCTAGCTGACCTTTCTACTCAGTCCTATTTTATCCCAGAAGGAAAAAGCTGTTCTTCCTCAGTTCTCGTTCCAAAGGCCAAAGCCCCTTCTCCTTCTCTGCACTGTCTTAAATGGCCTTCAACTCAATGTCCCTCCCTTTTGTTTTCTCCCTGTCAACTTGTTTCTTGATCTAGAGTTAGCTTTATTTGATCCTGTGTACAGAAGGCCCTTGGATTAAAGGCTTGTGCTAGGGCTGAGCCACTCCAAACAGGAAACAGGTGTTTACAGTTCACGGTCTCAACACAGTTTCCAATATGATCAATATCCTGCAACAGACCAAGGACATGAGTCTTTCCAACCTACTCAAAAGTAACAATTTTTAAAAGAGATGTAGAATCTTGATTAGATGTTGATTGCTATTGCAAAATTCCTCTTAGTCTGTTACAAAACCCTGTTTGATCTATGTTTTTAGGGCTCAACACTATGCTGGAGGATGGAAGGAATGGGTAACCTATGAAATCTCAGAAAAGAAACAAGAAAATTAGCACTTGGAATAACAGACTCTGTGTTCATATATCCAAGGATAGTGAATTAAGCAAAAGGAAAATCCAGTCTTGGCACCAAAGGCTAACAAATTTTGTATAACTGCTTGGCAACTGTTTTCCTCCTCTGTGAAATGAAGATCCTGCTCCCCTGAACATTTTCAAAGTCTACTGAGGACAGATCATATGAATTGCCATTAAAATATACAGGCTCTACATTTATTTATTTTTCATTATTCTCTCATATATTACTTTCTGACCACAATTCCTCCTTCCTCTATAATTAATTTTTAAGCATTTTGGTATTCCTAAAGATCAGGTAGATTGTATCACCAAATTGTGTGTGATCATGGGCATGAGCAAAAACAGTGAATTAACAAGCAATTTCAATTTCAAACAATGACAAAGCATTTGGTTTTAGGCTCGTGCTTGTAGTTCCAATACTCAGGAGGTTGAGGCAGGCAGATTGCTATGTGTTTGAGGCCAGCCTGTACTCCACAGACCCTCTTTCAAAAGAAAAGGGAAGAGAAGAGAAGAAAAGAAAAGAAATGAAAAAAAAAAAAAAGAGAAAAGAAAAAGGAAAGAATCCGGGGTCTGGAAAAGTCAACTCTAAACAGGAAAACACATTCACAGCCTCTGAAGACTCATGTCAATGTGCGACCAGAATAGTAAAAATGCAACTAATTTTAAAATATGGGTTATGACTTTGGAGAGCAAACTAACCTCAAAGAGGCCAGGAAATTTTGTAGGCCAGGAAATGTTCTGTGGCATGACTGAAATGTCAGGGGGTGTGTCAAAACCCATCAAAGCAAATATAAAGATATGTGTTTTACAAGTAATATACCCCAGTGTGGAAACTAATAAAAACAAGTGTTATCCAAGCTTGACTCCCTCTAGCATGCGTGTATTTCCTTAGGATGGTGTTATATGCTTATTAGTGTGCTGGCGTAATAGTAGCAAAGCAAACGTGTGTTCCACCTGCTTCTCTGACCCACTGATTTTTACCCTCACTCATGTAGTTATTTGGATCATGTAGAACCTGCTTAGCACAGCTCCCTCAGGACTTTCTTATCTAAAAAAGATGGATAGTCACTGGGAAGTCTGGAAATATGAACATGTGAACTTCTATTTTCACAATGGCAGTCTGGTTTCTTGATTGTTCTTCCCACCAGGACTAGAACTGCTTCGACACACACACACACGCACACGCACACGCACATGCACATGAGCATATGTGCACACACACACGAGCACAGGGTAGTCTATCTAAAGGCTTTCCTTGAAGCAGCAAGCTAATCTGAAGGAGAAAGTAAGCTATAGAGAATGAGCCCAAATTGTAGCACTGAGCCCATCAACCAACAGGTGCCTGGATAATCGTGCCAGGCTTTTAGTTACAGCTAGTGGTGCAGATAAGCCATACACCGACTAGTCCCCTTGGGAACTAAATGTCAAGTAAGCTCCAGTGCGGTGTCTTCCTAATTATCTGACAGGTGAAGATATAAATGTGACTATATTACAGTGAATGTTCTTATGGACACCAAAGTTTGAACTTTATGTCTCACAGTCATCAAATATTCTTTCAACTATTTAAAAATGTATCAACCAATCTTACCTCAAGACCAAGCCAAAAAGCACTTGACAAACCAGATTTTGCCTAGAGGACACAGTTTGCTAAATCAGAGCCAAACACTATCTCGAGTTTTTATATATAATGTTCAGACTTTTGTCAAAACTTGCTAGGCACAACAGTAAGCAGGATCTTTTTTTTTTGGTTTGTTTTCGTTTTGAGACAGGCTCTTACTGTGTAGCTCGGGCTAGTGTGGAACTCAATATGCAGACCAGGCTGGCCTCAAACTCATGGAGCTTGCCTGCCTCTGCTTTCCAAATGCTGGGATTCAAGGCGTGGGCCACCAATAGTAAATAATTTCCTGTGGTTGAAAAATAATAGCAAAAAAGAGCTGGGTATGATGGTACACGCTTATAATCCTCCACTTGGAAAGTAGAGGATTAGAAGTTCAAGGTCCTCAGCTACACAGTGAGTTCAAGGCCAGCTTGAGCTGTATGAGGCTCTGCCTCAGAGGGGGAAAAAAAGAAAATAGAAACAGAACCATGGGGGATTTACATACTGACTTTCAGATAAAAGGATTAAAGTAACTGTCTTAGATGGTGTTCTGCTGCTGTGAAGAGACACCATGACCACCACAACTCTTATAAAGGAAAACGCTTAATTGGTGCGACCTTACAGTTCAAAGGGTTAGTTCATTATCATCATGGCGGGAAGCATGGTGGCATGCAGACAGACATAATACTGAAGGAAGAGCTGAGAATTCTACATCTTGATCTATAGGTAGCAGGAAAAGATTGTGAGCCACTGAGCCTGGGCATGAGCTTCTGAGACCTCACAGCCCACCCCCATGGTGACACACTTCCTCAACACACCTCCTAATAGTGCCACTCCCTACCAGAGAGGCATTCAAAGACATGATCCCATAGTGGGATCACTCCTATTCAAATCACCACAGTAACTGTAACTAAAAAAAAGAAAGTAAAGTAAAATACATTCAGTAATTTGATGACAAAAGTAAGGGAAACTGTATCAAAACAAAAGCATTATCAGCTAGAGAGTCTAGAACTTGAAGTGGAATCACTAAGCTGGGCTCATTGGAGCATGCCTGAAACCTCAGCCTCTCTGGAGGTTAGGGCAGAGGGGCTAAGTTCAAATCCAACCTAGGCAGGTTAATGAGAACCTGTCCCAAGAATCAAAAGGGGTTAGGGATGTAGCTTAGTGATAGCACATTTAGCTAGGACACACAAGGCCCTGGTTTGATTCTTCATAACTTAATATAACAACAAGAAAAAGACAATAAACACACAGCAGATGTTAAACAGAACATTTTCAACCACAGGTTAGAAACAGATAATAAGATAATGCCAATAATAAATTAGAGGTTCATGTGTTAAGATTGTAATGATGTGGAAAAGAGCAAATTGTAGAAACATACTATGCAGCCTAGTTTTTTTTTTTTTTTAAAGATTTTATTTATTTATTTATTTTATGCATATTAGTGCTCTAAGAGGGCAGTAGAGGGTGTAGATGGTTGTGAGCCACCATGTGGTTGCTGGGAACTGAACTCAGGACCTCTGGAAGAGCAGACAGTGCTCTTAACCACTGAGCCATTTCTCCAGCCCGTAGCCTAGTTTTAAAACAATATCATTAGTCATTTCAACAAAGCTATGGAAATAACAAATGCCAATTTCAAAATGGTTTTCATGGAGGGAAGAGAAACACACAGGTATAAACAATATTGTTAGCCGTCTGTTTAATGTTTGTTATTCATTACTGCCACCTTTCTGGGTAGGGGATGGTGATTATTAAGGGAAGAGTTAGAAGTACACACAGAGAGGAAAAGTGAGAATGAGGTCCTTAAGAAGGCTTCTTGTTCCCAGAAACCCCTGTGAGGAGAGATGGCTAGGAAGGCATGGGGCTGGGAATATAAACAGGACAAATGAGCCTATAAAACACCCAATCCAGAATTCATTTGGTAAACTCCCCAAACCTGGAGCCAAGAACTGGCGCAGTCTGAAGGAACACCACTTACTAACTCGCTCCCCACTGGCTTGCTGAGCCTGCTTTCTCATACTACCTAGGACCACCTGCCCAGGTGTGGCTCTCCCCACAGTCAGCTGCGCCCTCCTACATCAGTCAAGAAAATGCCCACAGACATTTCCAGACAGTCTGATGGAGGGCGTTCTTTGGTTGAGATTGCCTCTTCCCAGATATGTCTAGGCTTTTGTCAGATTGGCAAAACAAAGAAAACAAAACAAACAAACAAACCAACAAACACAGCACACTGCCCCTATCACAGATGTCATCACAGAGCTTTGAGCTCCTGCCCTGACTTCCCTCAACGATACACTGCCACATGGAAGCATAAGTCAAATAGACCCTTTCCTCCCCCTCGTAGTTTAGGTCAGTGGTTTCTCACAGCAACAGAGAAGCACTCTAGTTCAGGTAGCTTTTAAAATAAAAAGGATAACTGTGAAATCCTCATGGTCCTAAGGCACACCTTTCTCAATACCCCCTTGGTTAGCCTGTGTCTGGCATCTTACGAAGCTTGGGAGAGAGCAGAAAGGGACAGACATGAATCATTTTAATCCACCAGTAACAAGTTCATAATGTTCTGTCCCTAACCCATTATTTTTCAGATGCATGTAGAGAGTGGTGGCACTATTTATCAACACTTCCCAATGCTAATGTTTCATAGTCTGCCCTTGCCTTGATTGCTGCTGCCAAGGTATATCTAGAGGTCAGAAGATGCCTGTCATCCTAGTGGCCAGTAGTTTTCTTGCAGATGTCCCACTCTATCCTGATGAGCCTTAGGACTATAGTCACTCTTTTTTTTTTTTTCCCCTCCCCATTAGATAGCCCTTACCCAACCTGGCATTTCGTCTTCTATTGAGGCTCCACCCTCTCTGTTACTGCTATGCTTTTCTAAACCCTTTCAAGAAATCAGACTGCAAATGTGTCGAGAAATGGTAGCACCAAAAGTATCTCAGATACAAACAGAGCTTTAGGGGCTCTGGGCCTGAGTCCCTGCAGGCAGCCTATGGCTGAGTGATGGCAGTGGACTGAGCTATGGGTGGCTGCAGAAATCCCACTACTTTTCCTGGCCTCTCTCTGGGACAGGCAAGAGCACACTGCCCTGATAGCAGGTTGGAGGCGGCTCCCATCTCAATGTCTAGGGACATGAGTAGGGAAGTGTCAAACGAAATCCCAGACATTCTGTGTCTTTCCCTCATTGCAGACGGGACAAACAGATGCCAAGATTTCTCTGAAGTTTCCACGTGGTTGCCTTCTCAAATAAGTAGAATTAGACCCTCAGACACACAAGCAAAAACCCTGGTATTGTTTGGTTAAGAGGCAGTGCTCCCATATTCCCTGGGTGATGGCCCAAACAAAACGACAAAACCAACCAACCAACCAAACCACAAACTTTTGAGAACAAGCAAAAGAAACTAATTTTAAGTACTACCATTTTGTTTTCAGACTCCATTTAATTATAGGGAGAAAGTAAATTCAAGGTTCCAGGCCCTAGAGGACCTGGGGACTTCCCAATAGCTGAACAGCTTCTATTGTAAGGAAACAGTTGTGTGAGTCCAGGCATCTTAGGGACAACTTGTAAGAAGGCAATTGTCTGAGTCCAGGCATCTCAAGACAGGGTTTCTCTGTGTAGACCAGGCTGTCCTGGAACACACAATGTAGACCAGGCTGGCCTTCAACTCAGAGATCTGCCTGCCTCTGCCTCCCAAGTGCAGGATCAAAGGTGTGCACCACCGCCCGGCAACTTCTCCATCTTGCTGGCAGGGGTAAACAAGTTCAGGCCCAAGGACCTACTCCTGCCCCAATTAATGGGAACTCCCTTGCTCAAGCCCTTATGTCAAAATATGATTGGACAATGCTACCGCCCACCCGCTCCCCCTTGCTCTATAGTTTTCGCCCTTTAAATATAGAATACAGCTTCCCCTAGGGGACACAGTTCAAATCCCCAACTGGCCGCCTCCCTGCAAGCGCATAAAATAAAGCTTGTATTTTAAGCTTCAGTCTCTGAAGTGAGTTTTCTCGGCTTCCACCCTAAACCCAACACAAACCTGCCTCCCAGACCCTCTGTTAGCATTTAGGCAGCCTGCTCCTCTGTTGCCTAGTAACCTATGATGTCATTATGTGTTGCCAAACAGCTACCTGGCAGACACAGTTCAGCTGCACCTGTACAAGCTAGAAAAGGACCAACCCGCCGCTTTGTCTCTCTCTTGCACTCTGTTCCCCTCCTCTCTTGCTCTCTCCGCTTCACTTTCTTTCCTGCCACCCCCACCACCACGTCTCTCTCTT